CCCACACCCCCCCAACCCCAAGCAGGACCGACAAACCCCCAAACACCAACGCAACCGCAACCCCATTCCGCATCTCAAACGCATCATCCAACTCTCTCTTCATCATCTTCCTCTGCTTAGTATGCCAATACCACTCCCCTTTCCCCTTCTCCTTCCCTTTTCCCTTCTTCTCAACCCCACCATCCCCTCTCCCCCGCTCTCTCCCAACATACTCATAAGGCCCCTCCCTCCTCCGAAAGACCAGCGCGTGGAAGAACCCCTTGACACTTTGTATCCTGCTCGGAGGATGTGAGGAAGACGGTGATGAGGTGCGGAAATAGGTGTTTCTTGAATCGACGAGGGCGAGTGAGAGGATGAAGGAGAGGAAGGCGAGGGGTGCTAGGATGAACTGTAACAGTTGTATACATCAGTCAAAATCCTCAATCTCCAGTCTCCCCCACGGCCAAAAACCTCGTAGCGATTACACACGAAGGAGAGGAAGGAAAGGAAATAAATAAATAAAACAAACCCTAACAACAACCCCCTCCTTCCCCCCCGCTCCCGCTCCCGCCACCGCAGCCGTCTGAACATCAGGCGTCTTGCTCGACATTTCTTTCCCTTTTCCCTTTTCCTTTGGTGTATCTGGATACCTTCAAGGCCGATGATAGATTTCCATGGTCAAGTATGAAAGAATTTATATAATGTTTCTGTTTCCGCAAGGCACCCTTTCAACTTTGGTTATTGCACAGCGCAGCTTCAGTTGTCTCGGACAGGCACAGCCTTACGAACCACGCGTACGAGTACAGCACCTATAACCCATTTTGGTGCCTGGTCTCCCCCTCCAAAAATGCCAAGAACGGAAACACGTCATGGCTAGTTCCCATTGGCGCAGTCTACGAGTAGGTAAATACTTTCAATGTAAATTGAATTAAATTACGGAACGAGTGCGAGGTAAAGGAAGAAAAGTTTTTACAGTGGACTTTTGGACAATCCCTTCAAGGACTGCCAGGAGTCCAAGGTGGTTTCCTTGTGATTGCTATTGTGTTGCAGGTATTTCGCATGTGAATTTATGGGATGGGCTTCAAGGAGTATGTACTAAATCACAATTCCATAAATAGACTCTTACAACAGAAAAATCCCATTTTTGCTTTTGTCTACGTGTATGTAAACCTCTTTATCATTTGTGCATCATTAATTCATCCAGGCTGGGTATATTTTATCCCCGGGTATCCTGGTATCGTAGGTGTCTTTCTCATTCAGTTCTGGTGTTTGCAATATTCAACACCAAAATGTCCGTAGCACCGATTTCTGTCAACTCATCCATGACCGTAGCAATCTTCTTCTTTTCAACCATAGCACTCACAGCAACCCAGCCCTCTGCTTCCAGTGAAGTGACGGTTGGTGCTCGTTTACCTGGAGTAACCTTTGCTGCTTCAGCTAACCTTTCGCGTGAAACATTGTACTGGCAAACGACGTATTTTTGTGCAGCTAGAAAGAGTTAGTGAAGGAGATATATGATAGTAAGGTTTCACTAACTAATGACACCCCGTATTCTTGAGGTGATGAGGTTAAGTAGTTGCGGGTTTGTTGGGTTCTTTGATTTGATGAGAACTGCAACACTTGAATGGACGGTGTCAATTGCTTGCAATCCGGCGGCTTTCATCGTCTCTCCAGACTCTGGTTTTGTTAGTGACAAAATACTCGGTTGATAGTATTTACTTACCAACAAGATCAACAATCCCGTCTGCCACACTCAGAGCACATGCTGCCTCAACACTTCCGCTCAGTTCAATAATATTAGTTCTCAGCTTCTTAGGCTTTTCCGTTCCATTCTGCCCATTCTGCCCATTCTCCCCATTCTCCCCATTCTGCCATTCTGCCTCCTTCTCCAAGTTTGCAAAGTAATCTACAGCCAAGTGAACAAAGCTGGTTCCAATATTCTTTCCAATCAAGTCTGATGGTTTGATGTATGGTCCTTTCACCGGTACCTGAACCTGTAACTTGCAGGCGCCAAATCCCAAGTCGAGTATCTCTTCACAACCTTCGTGACTATCGCCTTCCGTAGGAGTCAAGTTTCCGGATTCGGCACGCTGCCGCCTTGCTGACAATACTCCAGATTCATGCTCAGCAACTGTATCTCGTCCGGTTATACCAATATCAACTCGACCTTCGCCGACAAAGGTGGGGATGTCTGATGCTGGGAGGAAGACGAGAGCGATTGGAAAGTTCCTGACGAGGGCAATGTCGAGTCGTGATTCTCGTTTGAATTGGATATCGGCACCTTCCAATAGATTAAGTGCAGCTTGTAATAGTCTTCCCTCTGCAAAGCGTGGTTAGTAACAGATATCTCGCAATTGGTTGCCGCACTGACTCACTTTTTGGGACTGCGAACAACAACCTCCCCTCCAAGCTATCGGGATTGTTAGCAAAATGAATTTCTTCTACTACTTCTGATAGAGGAAAAATTAAAGGCATTGCGAAAGGTGAACTGAAGCCAATTGAAGTAGAGACTAGTCTTACTGATTGACGAGATCCATGATTTGGATTCTTGTATGCCTTTCCCGCAAGGACAACTCAACGCACGTCTCCGATCGCGGCGGACACGGTACGAGTACGTTTCAGTGCCTAAGTTTCGTTTACTGGCAGGTGAGAGTTTTATGCTGAAATCCCACTGGAAAGATGTTATAATGCAGAATAGCCCATGCAGTGGCCGAAAAGGTTTGTCAAATAAGGGCTGAGAACGAATGAACGACGTGGGGGGGGTTATGATGTGAGATCGCAGCTGTAGGTACGGAGCAGCCTTGCTCGCTCGTAGGTGAAATTCTTGTTGTCCAAACTCACAACCTGGAAGTATCTCCACTCCCCGCTCCGAAGAAATTCCAGTCGATCGATCACGTTGCCCCACTTTCCGCCTTACAGGTCAGGCACCACAAAGTTCTAAGGCCACCAGCTCGGGACCCTAGCGCAGTCGGAAGACCCAAGGATTTCTCGGCACACAATGCCAACGACGAAATATTTCAGCGCCCCCGATCCAAAAATCCAAAAATCTCCATCCTCCTCTCCAGCGCATTTACACAAGTCAGCCAATCCTCCCGAAATTATCATCACGAACGCCAGACTGACCATCAGCAGATCGCCAATATGGATGCCTCAAAAGTTCCCGTTAAGCTCGTCAAGGTCACCCGTGTTTTGGGCCGTACCGGTACGTTATTCTCGCGACGAAACGCCATGAGAGCGATGGGAGAAGGGGAAATGAGCGGATTCTGATGGTGATATCTAGGTTCCCGTGGAGGTGTTACTCAAGTCAGAGTAGAGTTCATGGACGACACCACCCGAAGCATTATCCGTAACGTCAAGGGCCCAGGTACGATTTCCCTCGAAAATTCCCTGGCGAAGATCCCGCAAATTCAACGACAGGGGAATTACGAAGGAGTAAAACAAATACTAACAAAATTAATTCCTACAGTCCGTGAAGACGATATTCTTTGCCTCCTCGAGTCCGAACGCGAAGCCAGAAGATTGAGATAAACGCATATTCTTTGGTCGTGGGGAAAATGGGGTTACACTGGTGCATTCATGAAATTTTGCTAGGGAAATGGGACGTGTACGTTGAGATACTCGGTTAAGGGAGGTCGACTTTCACAATCCAAGAATACACCGGTTGTTCTACAACATTACAATACCTTTCGCCTTGCACATGTGATGATGAGGACCCTTGACCGCTGGATGAACTTTCTTGGATGCGATTAAACTTTTCAAAATTGGGGCTGAAGGTCTGGAGTATCCAGTATGGATACAAATTTCCAAATTCAAAGTCCCAAAGTTGTGTCAGTTCGGCTGTTGTTTCTGACCAGAAACGTCGAGCGACGAACGTTGCATCCTACGATCCTAGCTTGCTAGCAAGAACCTTAACAATAAACTTTATAGAAAGCTTGTGAGAGCAAAGTCCATACGAACTCGCGCCAAAATTCGAATGTATCCAAGCCTCTACCATGGTGCGTTGGTACACGAGTACGTTGTCGATTGCTCTACATCTAGCTTCCCACCTAGCCTGTCTTGAAACTGTTCAATTACACCGAGTGCAAAGTTGCGTTGCCTATTCTGACAGCCGTAGACCCGCAATTACTCGACGTATACCTCAAGACTATCTCTTTTTATGTAAAAGACAAACCTGGTCATTACTCTGTCTATATTATACGATTGTTATACTAACCCCCTAGCACCAACAACCTAGGTAGGTAACTCAAATCAGCAAGTACATCTAGGCTAGCAAAAGGTAAAAAGCAACAATTACTCTAAACCATCCGCTTGACTATTTTAGTAGTTGCACGAGGCCTTTTAGATAATATTACTCTAACCTATGTGTATGAGTAATGACCACATCTCTTACAGAATTAAGACCACCATACGCACCCTTTACAACCGTGGTTTTTGGTAGGGTGCCAGGGGTGTGTCGCTTAGAGCCTGGACACGTGATCAGCCGCCTTTACGTCCTTTTCCTTAGTATTTAACTCTTAATTAAATAACTTATTATTATCATATTATACAACCTTAACTAAGATATATATCTACTTGAACGCCGGCGAGTTCGCATAAGCTAACGCAGCTGGAGAGGCGTGCTAGTAATCTGATTACTTAATAATAAATTAATTAAAGTTATAAAGAAACTATTAGACGAAAAAAGACGTCGAGGGCGAGCCTGCGAGCCCGTCTGGCCTCGTTATATATAAGATTACGTTCTAGTAATATAACCTTATATTTCCTTAACTAAAGTTCAGTACAAACTAATAGCTTAACATTGCCAAGGTGTCAGAATGGACCTATAATTATAGACTGTTCTTGTCCTAAGCGAGGGTGCTTAATCCTGGCCTAAAACCCCCCTGAACGGTGGGGGAGACAAGAAGATTGCTGGTGTCACTGGCGTATAATATACGGTGGATTCCACAAATGTAGATATTTGCTGTAACCGGACGTAGAATACAGGAAAGCGCAGAACCGTCTGGATTCAATTCTCTGAATTTTCCTCGCTCAAGATCTTGGACCTGATCTCCCTAACACTATATCTAACGAACTCTGACATTGATTGGCGCACTTCTCATATCTCGCTTGGCTGTCCCATTTGGAATAAAACTCGTGCAATCAACCATATCTTTCCTATCCAACCCACCCAAAAGCTGCATCTTCTCCATTGCTGCCGCAAATTTGACATCCCAATCAGCCTTATTATTTACAAAAGCCTTGAACGCTGGTCCCACGTCTTTCTGTTTAGATAAACTGACATCACTTGGGAATGTTGCCATGCCCTTCTGTGGTTTGTATGTCTGAGCATAGTATTCAATGTCCCATTTCCCAGGAGTGGTATCCTGTGGTGTACCAGCAGTAATATTTGGCACATTTCCGGCCTTGGATGCGGTATGTGCGCCCATCAAGGCAGCTAGCTCTGCAGCATCGAATCCTTTGTCCTGAAACATCTTCAAAATAGTGTCTCCATCTTGAAAAGGACTTGGCAATGTTCCTTCTGGAGCTGGTTTCTTGCTATCTTTGCGCCCGATGAAAGTATCGATTCGAGGTCCACCGGGACAGGACACAATCGCCACGCTGGATCCCATGACGATCAGGTCTGCCATTGATGCATTTTGGTATTTGGCCTTCATTGCTACAAGTTTGGCGGAAATTTCCTGAAGCCCTTTGTTTTCTGGTCGAGTGTTGACTTCGTCTGCGAGGATGAGAGAGCCATCGCAACCACCACTCTTACCCAAGGATTTGGTATAGGTTGAGCAATCGTGGAAACATTCCTGCGTTTTCCTGTCAGTTCTTCTGTTTTTGGGGAGATTCAAGGGGATGGAGTTATACACGTATTGCTGCTCTAGCATCGTCAGTGCATTGCCCGTCAGGTCCCATGAACATCGCGGAGAAATCTTTTACGATAGCTTGCCAGGCCGCCGGGCATTCAGCCCCCTTTTCGGCCAGAATTGTCGAGCTGGTTACATCAGTCGAGTTGTCTTGTCTGATTGAGAGAAGGCGTGAAATGGGTGTTGGAATAGATCTTCGAATCAACCGAAGACTATTTGAGAAACTGAGCGCATTGGAAGAGATTATAGCGAGTGCAGCGACTAAAGAACAGGAGAATCGCATTTTGAATTGAAATTTCAATTGAGAGAATGGGGAAAAAATAAAAAGAATGAATATAGAAAGTTGCAATAGGAGCGATTAGGCGAGACTGTTTTGAGGGGTATTGAGCCAGCACAACCAAGAAAACGACACTACTCTTTGAAAGACTGAGACAAGCAAGTTACCATATCATACCTTTATATATTCATCCTCCCAGCTCAGATACGTGTTTCAACACGAAGGAACCGGGACACAGCCCAGGAGGTACAGGCACAAACACCACGCGCCATCGAGCAGACTTCAGAAACAGGCATAAGATCTACGAAACCCTAAGCAATTTGGAGTAGAGAAAAACTTCCAAGCATTATTTGCATCCGAAATACCAAACCGTCACCTTAATCCGATGTACTGTAACCTCCGGGTCCATCTCTCGATGGGGACAATCTCGCTGTTGACCCCGCAGAAGGGACATCGGAAGTCTCCTACCCGTGGGAATAATGGGAAACCAGATGTATCGAGAGGAAACTTCAGACGTTTATGAGGTGATGGAGGTCTGAAGAGGTCTTTGGTTGGTCGAATATGGGGTAAAGCAAAAAGTCTGTTCTCGCGAACAGGGTGCTTGTTCGCTTGAGAATTCCCTTCTCCGTGGGGAGCTGGGGTATGCAGCTAGGAACAATCAACAGTTTCTTCTCGGTTTCTCTATGTACCGAACGTTTTGTACGCTCGGCATCAAGTAAAGTCTGGTGTCGCACCGCATAACCAAGCAATTATGTGCATGGGATTCATACGATGTGCTGTTTAACGAGAAATAAACAACTGGACAAATCCTCGAATTCGTAAAGGATCGAAGTACCAGTTCCTAAGAAGTGTGGTGGTTCAAGCTCTGCACACTCTCTGAAAAAAGAATGACTATCAGATCAAAATTTCGCCTTCTCGGCTAGCTAGGTCGACGTTTGAACTCAACGCTCGAAATGTACTCTGTATCCGATTTCTTGACTCTTGACGTAAGACAAGCACATGTCAGTTGGGCACAGTTCAGCCATGGAGCTACTACCTTCGTTCGAGTTAGCAAGCTAGTCCCCTCGGGTCGTGCGTTGCTTGCCGCACCGGACCTTTCCTCAGATCTTCGCTCGCTTATCAAGATTTAGCCACCGGACGCCATTGTAAGGCAAAACCACGACATGGCGTACAGATGAAGCAACGCATAGACGAGGAAACGGAAACGACTGGGCGAAGTCGGGTGGGAATAGCTTCATTCCGCGAAGGGCCATGCGCTCGCTATACCATACCTATTCGGGACATAGAAAATCCCATATATCTCTTACAGCATCTGTCATCTGAGAAAAGTTACTTGACGGAAATATCTAAGGATAATCTTAAGCTTTTATAGTAGCGAGAGTTTGATCTGTTTTTTACCGGTAATATGTTTTATACCCATAGCCTTTCTATAACATTTGATAAAAACACAAATTTCTGCCAGGTCAATTTGAATGTTTGTAGCACTTCACGCCACAGACCTTACGAGCCGCCAACTCGTTGACTTTTTTGCCAAAGCAGTTTGGAACTGTTTCTCGGAGGTCCTGCAAGCTAATGCAGGGCACTGATAAGGAGGCGAAGAAATTCGGTATACCGGTAACGGCAGCCACTGTTTTACGGCGAATGAAAACTCCCAAACAGAGTCTAGAGCCTTTTCAGCGTCAAAGGTCTTAGCAAAGCCAGCCGCTGAAAAACGGCCGTCACATGATTGAAATTGCCACCAGAAAACGAAAGGGACCTCCGGAGTCTCTCATTCATGGATTTTTAGATCAATCATAAATTGTCTGAGAAAGTTGGGAAAGTGAGGCTAAGGGCGACCGCTTTCGTGTCTCCCTAAAGACGTGTAAATCATGGTCAAGAGCAGTAACAAAAAATCAGCATAATCTAAACGTCCATCTAATTATGATTATAAGCACACACTATTATTGTAGCGAAACCATTAATATCACTGCTATCATTTCAAGATTGTTCACAACAGAAATATTCTTCCTAGTGTCGTAGAAGAAAGAAGTGGCAATCAGTACTACACAACCAAATCATTACTTAAAAACATCATCTCTATAACACCCGCTGACCAGAATCCCAAATTACACCCCTGCTCCGATAAACAGAATTCAACAGTGTATCCCCAATTTTTGTTCCCTCAAGCTCGTCATTTTTTTGATATGTACAGAATAATACGCGCTGTATAAACTCCAAAGAAAAGAATTATGTGTCGAGAAATTAGTAAAGTATTAAAGCGTCTGCTTGAAAAGTACGTCCCTTAGACATACTAACATTTGGCGTTGTTCTTGCCCTTGTTACAGGTAGGAGCGGCGGGTTTTGCTGTAGTTTTCAGAGTGGTGGCGGGTTTCGGTGGGTACTTGTAGTAATAGTCAAGAGCCTTTTCTACTGCTGCTGCATCGGGATATGCGTTCAGGTTTTGGAAATATGGCAAGAGGACATTCTTGACTTGGTTTAGGTCGGTTCCGGTATATGCCTTGGCTCGGAAGAGAGGTGCCATTGGGTCATTGAAAGACACTTTATCGGGATAACCGTAGCTACTTAGGTCCACATCAGTGACATTGAAGGCCGCCATCATGTCATGGTCTTCATGAACAAGATTGTGGCAGTGGAACATGTAGACTCCTGCCCATGGCGCAAAGTTGGCGACAACTTCAACCTCTTCATTCGTGCCCAGATACACAACTGTGAGGACATGATTAGTCTATGGTCTTGTATTATGAAGTGTAAGGAGCTAGACTAACCGTCCTTGAGAGCTGCTGCCTCGTATGGTTGAACTGATCTACCGGATCCGACACGCGAGACTACTTGGAAATCAATGAGATGAATGTGGATTGGGTGGCTCCATCCTATTGACAAAATCAGTAACGAAATCATTTATCAGCCAATATTTACACTCACCTCCAGATTTGTTGGTCAATCGCCATCTTTGAACTTTACCGCGCGGAGGGTAAGCAACGACGCGATTCTTAACGTCTTCAAACCCGATACCGTTGATCAGCCATTGCCCGTTGGTCCTTTCAAAGGTAAATGCTTGATCGACGGTAGTGCGAGAAGCTGGAATTTCCAGATCACTCAAATGAGTTGGAATGTCTCCATTGCCATCCGACGATAAAATAGTGTTACCAACGACGAAACGGAGAACTTTATCTGTTGCTGGATAATCGGGGTTAATTTGGAAGTCTCGTGCATTCATCAGGGTAAGATTCTTCCCCTTGTATTTGTCGAAGTCAATTACAATTTCGTACCTTTCGGCCATCGAAATATCAAGTCCTTTGGTAGGAACAGGGTGATCCAGATACCCAGCGTCAGCACCGACGACGGTAAAGTCAAGTTTTGTTTTGGGGTCCGAGTCTTCGACCAAATAGAGACTATATGTTCTTGATATCGATGCATCCAACAGACGAAATTTGTACTTTCTGGGTTCGGTCTTCATATATGGCCAAGGCTGTCCATTAACTGTATTCACGTCGCCGTAGAGACTAACCCGCTCATCCTCTGGCGAGAAAAGCTTTCCGTTAGGGAGAAATTGCTTTGATGCTAGCATGAGAGGAACATCGTATTTTCCAGTTGGTAACTTGAGCTTGTCAGACATAGCCTTGTCTTCCAAAATATAAAATCCAGCCTGTCCGAAATATGCATTGACAGCAGTAATTCCGATGGCGTGATCGTGATACCAAAGCGTCCTAACAGGTTGAGCATTGGGATAGTAGTAGTCCTTGTACTGTCCTGGGTTTGTAACGTCCTCTGCCCAACCATCAAAGGGTGTTCGGGAATATGATCCGTGAAGATGTATAGATGAAGGTCGATCATAACCATTAACAAATCGAACGACTGCTTGACGACCCTTGGTCATCTTAAGAGTAGGACCTGGAGCAATGCCATTGTATCCAACATACGATGTCGTCCCCAAATTTGGGTAGGTCTGCTTTTCAAAGGCTTTGATCTTGATTTCATAAAAGTCAATTGACTCTCCAGTGGTTGTGTTGGTGTATGTCGTCGACGGTGGTAGCTCCGGAGGAATTGGGAGTTCGTATTGGAAGATGTATTTATATCTGGCAACAAGTTAGCAGCGTATTCATTGATGCATTGGTCTGGAGGAAAATTTCACGGTAGGTCGTTGAGGTCAATACTTACTCTGGCGAAACCCATTTCGAGATGCCGGCATTGGCAAAGGTAGCCGCAGCCAAAAGTAGCAGGGTGTGGTATGCCATAATGAAAGAAGTAGTTGATGAGTGAGGATTAAAGATGTTGCAAGTCCCCTGGGAGAGAGTTAAAATGGTTGAAATTGAATAGCTCCTCCATGGCTAATTGAGCAGTCATATATATATATAAGAGTAACCTGCTATCATTGTGCGACATCCTTGGGGCACCATCCGTGCCGGTGAGATCGAGACGCAACTCCAAAGCCATCGGCAAAAGATTGTTGTATCATGCAAGGCATAGAAAGTCATGATGGCTGAATTATGTGGTCGTAATGGCTGAAGTTTGTGGAGGTAACCATACAAAGAGAAAGGCATTGTCGATCAAAACGTGGCAAATGTCAAAGCCAGGCTACCCAACTAAAAGGATTCCATGGTTCTAGAATTATTCCATTGGCTTAAAACTGTTTCAATAGCTTGAAAATTATTCCACGGCTTGACTTCGTCCCGTGGTTCTGGATTCTGGATTTTCGCGGAGCCTGAACGCGAGATGTAGTTGCTAGACCATTAGAAGTAAATATATGGGGTACTCGTATTTGCACTTCATGATATCAGGGTTGATAAAATGTATGCAAGAAATTTTGTGCGGCGTGAAATCCTAAAACATAAAAGCGACCAAAATAAACTGCTATTGCCTGTCAATATGCAAGCCATCAATACGATCGTGCACCACAGATCATGACTCTTGCCGGCTCATGGAGCGAAGAGCCTCATAGCTGATGGACCCTGCATAACCCTGCATACAGAGATAGAAATAGAACTTTTCCAGCTGAAGGTGCAAGTAGTCCCATTGACAACTCCGATTAAGGGCGAGATAGGCGACAAGCCAGATTTTTCTACCTTTCTGTATCTTCTGAAAGTCTCGCTTCCGCAATGCAATGACGAGCACGTTTTTCGTTTTGTTTATATTTTTTGTCGATGATGTCCAAGTGTTCTACTGTTGGCCCAGGCCCAGGTGAGTCACTAAATCCTGCAACTTTTGGTGTTACTTACTGCAGGTACAAAATTTGCCTGATAATCCATCTGGAATCTCATCATTATGTTCGCGTGGCGACAAGAAGATGAAACTTTTGGTCGAGGCCCTTGGCTGACCGTTTCTGGCAAAAGCTGAGATGGCAAGGCTTCCAGGTCACCTGACAATAAAACCCCAGACAATTCGACCTAATCCACATCACAAGCGGCAAAAAGCTGATATCAGGATCCGCAAAAGAGAATACGCCGCTTCAACTGCGCCTTTATACAGACTGTACCAATAAATAATTATTAAAGCTCTACGCCAGCTTTCGGGCATGACTCCCAGACTTTCCAAGGATCTGATAGGTTGCGCTCTATCTGTTCCTCAGCAGAGCGCGATTATTTAGACCGAATCCGACATGTCAATATGTCAACATTTCAACATGGATAACACGGATGCTGCAGATGAATTGAACCTAGCATGGTTGGTTCTTTTTCACTATTTAAGAAGTCTGAGGTGGTTTGGATTTTATTCGTTTCTCCAGCTGTTTCATTGATTATTATTATCATAATCATACATTTTCAACCACAACTATGATGCGGAGGCAAACTTTTCTCGTGCTGCTATTATGGCTGGCCTCAATTGTTTATTGTCAACTTCCATATGATCCTAGTCCTTTTGACATTACTGGGACGATCAATAGGTATCGAAAGACTCGCACTCTTTATCAATTATCCTAATGTTTCTCCAGCATGTCTCTTGATGTCGGAGGACCTTTGGCAGGCGGCTCCATAACTGTGGATGGACTTACAATCACTATACCACAAAATCTTCTAGTCACACTCCCTTCTATCACTGTAGCATGGCCCGAGATGTTCAACAATGGTGTTGCCAACCTTCCTGGTGGCATCTCGTGGGAGGCTAATGTCAATTTAGCCCCCATCTTACAATCATGCCAATACTGAGTTCGTGATGCAGGTGGTGGGAAACCGAGTTGGTGGAAAATTTATCGCAGGACTTGTATACATCGCACAGCGGTCACCACAGACTGTCCAGGGCTTTGTAACTTCAATTGATCTTGCCACTGGCCATTTTCAAATCAATAGCGGCACCGACTGTGTCATTAACGATCCCATTGGGAGATATGATCGTCCTTACTCCGAGAATCCGCTCTGGCAGGCAGATCCAGACAACCCCAGCATACATACACAAACTGGCGTTCCTATGTGCATTCCAAGAAGTAGCTCAGACCCATTGTGTCCATCCAAGAACCGACCACTTGGTGCTAACGGCGCGCCGTTAAGCATATTGTGAGTGCTTGACGATCGCTTCTAGAAGACTCCACAGCTGATGATTTTCAGCACTTTCAAAGATCCGACAACAATCGGGGCTAATGACCCCGATTCCCGATTGATGGTACCCCTCCTGGTTGGTGACTATGTTGAAGTTTCTGGCACTTACATTGGGGGGCGACTGGAAGTCAACAGCTTGAACGCGAATTTACAGTTCCTTACTAGTCCAGGCGCCAAGCCAACCTATCTTTGGGTAGAAGTAGCAATCTACGGTGTTGTCACAACGCAACCTGGTGGTGTAAATGGAGAAACTCGAGCTGTTGTCTGGTCATCAGATCCTTCCACTCCAATCCAATGGTTCGCAATGGATGTTGACGCGTGTAGCGGAGATGTGACTGAAAGAAACCTGAATCTCATGCAACCTACTTCAGGCGGCCCCCCTCTTGGGAGAGCGGTTTACAGGCTTGGGAAAACAGATGTAAGCCCAGCCACGAGACAAGTTGGTTTCCGTGTGACATCGGGAGTAACGACAACCTCGAACAACATAACGGCTGGGCAATATATCCAACCCATCTTCTCGTACACTTTTCCGGAGCTTACAACTTTCGGAACGCCCATGTTTCCCAACCTATTCGATTTCATACCATACCTGGCTCAGGGATCGGGTCCTTACACCCCAGGAACTTTCGGTCGTCCTGCTCCATCCACCGAAGTTATCGTTGGCCAACTAAGTCCCTGGCCGGGGGCTTCAGCCCCATCAACAACATTATGTGCACCTAAACCCACACTGCCACCAACCACTCTGAGCACAACTGCCACCTCCTCTGCTCCGGCATCAACAACATCAGCAGTGCCAAAGGATACAATCACTATCCTGTCGGCATCGCAGAGCTCTCTGCGGGGCGTCATAAATGTCACAGCGTCTGCATCTAGCAACAATCCAGATGCAAAATTGTCCATGTCAGTTCAAGGGCCGAACCCAATCAGTTCGACTGCAATGACTCTAAGCGGGAATACATTCGGTCTTAGTGTCAGTGTAAAGAGCAAGGGGACCAGTGTCACAATTACAAGTCAGTTTGGGGGGTCGGCAACATTAGCGATTAAATAGAATTATATATCAAGTAAATACGCAACTATCCCATCGTTGTACTGAGATCAAATAAAGTGGTATATCAAGTAAACACATAACTATCTCCTTCGTAGTCCTCGTTCCGCCAAGGCGAATTGTCGTGTTTGGCGAGCCCCTCATTCACACTCGTCTCTTTTTATGAAGAGATTTAGAAGTGCTTCTACGGTGTTCTGAATTCAACGTGGCACTACATATAATTGGAAAAAGACTCTTCAGTTTGTATAATTTTCTCTTAACTTATATAGAAGTCATGTAATACCAAGAACATTTTGATAGGGTTTGTTGAAGACCACATAACATCCATTAGCGGGACAAGGACCACGGAGGAGATAATTTATAATTTTGAACGTCAACGCCTTTTGAACTACTCTCTTCGATATTCCACTAATCCTCAGAGAACTTTTCGCGTGAAATTTGGTTAGGCGTGATGCTGTGTGTAGACAGGCGAATCGTCCAAATGACGCAGTCGATCTTATCTCCCAGTTTAGTTTGCCAAGGAAGGGGAGGGGCGAGTATGGGCGAGTATGGCGGTGGCTTCTTACTGCAGTAGTAGAACCCAGCTTTCTGGACATCCTCCAGATCCTATAACTTTTGGGCTGAAACGCATAACCGATTGGTGCCACTTGGCAGCGGCGAATTCTTTTTTGGCGTGAACTTATTGAGTACACGTGATTCTTGCATTGTCGGTTATGTAGGTAGGTCTCTTTTGGGCAGTTGTGGCTTCTTCTATGTAAGGAGCTGGTACGTTGTACGCTGGATTCTAACTCTCGATTAAATTAAATTAAATTCTTTCAAAGGGAAGATTTGTAAGAAAAGAAAAGAGGAATGATTTCCATCTTTCATACTGGAGGTATATCTTCCAAACCCTTGTTCTGTTCATTTTAAGCAAATGAACAATTGTAACGTGATGTCAGTCAATCTAGCTTTGCGATGACTCCTGTGCGGCTGAGAGCCTGCAGAAAATGTCTCTTCCCCTCTAAGCCAAATCAATACTTGTTAAGCGAGGCCAATGGCCTCGACCAGAGCCCCGGAACATTTATGGCTTGCTAGTTATGCCACGAGCCATCTTACTCTGACTTAGGGAACGGACTAATTCGGGGGCTCTACGCTAAAGTGACTGCTACCAGTTTACCACGCATTTTATCCAGGGGGGGACAGTAAGTTACGGTCCGTAGCTCTTCTCTAGACCCTGAAAGGATAACCCTCGAGAACGCTACAGAGCTTACCTAGTCTTATAGACCCTGAAAGGATAACCCTTAAGAACGCTACAGAGCTTACCTAGTCTTATAGAGCCTGTATGCAAGATTCCCGTCCCTTGGCAGAATTCTTACTGCCTTGGCAACACTTTGACTTGCTATCCTGCTAGCTCTAACCATCCCTTCACATATTATCAGCTAGCTATATTTGGTTTTTTACGCAAGCCGACCCCTCTCGGTCTCCCAAAGCGGACATTATACGAACCATTTATTCGTCGGGGGTCGTACGCCTCTCGCAGCGTACTTCCCTCCCTAGCATCGTCACTTTCAAGCCTTTAGCCACATTTTATGCAAGGTTCTTCGAGAACACCTGTGAGTAGAATCCAGATCCCTGGTGAAGTCTGGAGAGGCGTCAAGGATGGAATAAGCTTCTGGGCCAAGAATAAGAAGGCTGCTGTTCCTCGTATGCAAGAGACATACTTCCAAGATTTCAGAAACAGTCTTTTGTCTTCCATATCACGAACAGCCAAATTACCACAGGTTGCTATCATTGATCCAATGGTTATGAATGAATACTTTGCCAGTCCCATGACCAAGAGTCCTGAGATTCAAGACTGGACAGTAGGTACCCTTTCTTTCCAAATTATACAATTTATCTAATTTATAATGCCAGAACAACTGGATGACTCCCCGACAACCTTGGGAATCAAAAATGGGAGGTGATATGCATATCTGGCAATACACTCAGGCCGCTCTGAACCAAAGAGAACTTCCACAATCATATTTCCCACTCGAGTCTCCTTTATCGTCACAATATCCCCAATCAGCCTGCTCTTCTGCGATTCAAAGCCCCCACATACCAGAATTTCCCGCTGAATCTGCATTCCCACATACTCCTACGAGCTTCGAGCCTCCAAGACCAAATCTCAAACGCTCTCGACGTAGCGAAAGTGCAGATCAAGAGGAAGAGATGAACCTGGAAGATGAAGATTCGGACTATGCTTGGGACACGATATCAGGCCCTCCGCCCTCAAAATCTGCAGTTCGAATGATCCATCGGAGAACTCAGTCTGCTACAGAACAAACTTCGATAAAACTCGCAAAAAAGGCCCATACGGTAGTGGAGAAGAACTATCGAGAGAGGCTGAATGACAAGATTGCGGATTTGGCAGTTTATCTTTTCGAGACAAGTTCTGATGGTATGTTCATGAATTCTCTTTCTATTACCAGACTTTGTTCATTAACAGTCCCTCCTTCCCCCTTGTTATCCTAAACTTCTTCTTCTTCTTTGGCTAACTTCTTGGAAGCACGTGCCAAACCATCAAAATCACTCGTTATGACAAGAGCCAAAGAAAGACTGAAGCAACTCGAAGCAAAGAATAAAGCACTTGAAAGCGAAGTGGCGAAGCTGCGACAGCAGATTGCGATCCATGATCATGTAGCTGCCGCAGAGAAACAGAGGTGTTTGGATGAGATTAAGACCGAGGCAAGATCGTAACGTAGTCCTGTTGAACTTCATGTGGTTTGATATCCTGTGTACAAATATATGGTGTTTAGAGGAGTACTGGTAGTCAATGGGGGTCTGGGTCTGGATTTGGCGTTTGAAAGGTGGTGTCAATTGCTTTTGGTGTATGAAATTATAACAAACTCCAATATTTGGTCGCGCTCGTACTGTATGCATCTCTATGGTGAACAAAAAGATACCGTTAACCTTTCGCAATTTTTATCTTAGCGGTCACTAATCAGACTGCTAGGAGTTTGGATAATCTCACTGACCGCTATCATATGTACAGAACAGAACTTTAAAAGATGGAATACGTATCTCATAGGAAGAGATTTGATACTGAAAGTGCGACTCAAATCCCATTGGAAAGAAAGTCTCTTCATAGCGTCCTATGACCCGAGAATTCGTCAGGTTATCCACATTCATATTGAGCTGTAACTCACTTGAGCTCATCTCACATAATCCATACCATATTCAAATTCACGTGTACGGGTATAGTATCAGTAAAAGAGAACGGGAAGGGATGAGATCTACTAAAGCCTCCGGAACGGGCAAGTCCCGTCGCAGTTGAACGAACCAGATCGACATCTCTGCCGTTGCACCGACACCGTCCAAAGCGATGTGCGGTTTCTCTTAATCAAAGTTCTTTTTGACCTGGTTAGGAATGAATCTACATTGGGTAGCTCGTGACTCTGATAAGTAACTGCAATTTTCGGGCGCTGGTCCTAAGAGCAGAAGGGTACTTGTAAGATACTTTATCGCTAATCAAGATGCCTGGAGCGTCATTCGGGACAGGGTAGCTTAGTAGATGCTGTAAACAATTGACACTATATCCACTCTTCATGATCACCTAAAGTTGAAAAGGCCTTGAATGAGACCAAACGACCCTTGGATCAAGTGGCATTGCAATTTCTGGGTCTAGACTAGAATACTCTCCACTATACAGCCAGTCACGGAAAGTGTACGGTACAAAAGGGGGCTTTAACCCCCTTACTAAATCGGCGCCTCTTATGAATACGTGAAGACGGTTGCAATTTGTGGAACTAACCTCGGAATCGCCTAACTAGTTTGATATGCAGCTTTTTCGAGGACAATTCGTTTTGACTCAGGTGTACGTATAACAATGACATCTTTTACTACCATCTCACTTTTCTACTTAAACAGCAAGTGGAGGATTTGCAAATGCAGTATTATTATCATTGATCTTTCAGAGCATTCTGCCAAATTTCCAACCTCTCAGGATTAAATCCTTTCCACTCTCTGTCTCGATATTTATCGCCACCTCTCGCGATCTTATTATTATTCCCATCAAAGGACTTCCCCTCTTTACTCAGTTTCTCTATCGAGTCTTTCGCATAGACAAACCACAATTTCGCAGCATCAACATCTGCTTCCGAACCACCACTTTCATCCTCAAACGCCGATCGCAGCTGCCATATCGCGTAGAGAGAGAAATCGAAAGCTGGTATCGATGGGCTGTGGGAGGTAAGACGTGCCAAGAAAGCATTCAGATTGCTCCACTGCTCAGCAGGGAGCTCGTTCTTGTCACCTGCACCAGGTGCTGTTGGAAATGTCAGTAATTTCCATGTGATATTAATGTAATTTCCTTACCTCTATTGAATGCCTCTCGTGCAGCTGCCCCCAAAAGTGGAATATCTTTCCAAATCTTCACTTTGCTTCCCCATATAGTACGTTCACTTGAAGCCTCGTCCTTGCCGATATTTTGCTGCTGTACAGCTAGTAAGATGTCTATCAAAGGCTGCTGGTTTGTGTGCGAAGTTTGGGCTGCTACATCGATAACATCGTGCCACACCTTCCAAAGCGAGTCCTCAGTATCAGCACCCTCGGAGAATATCTTCTTTGTGGGTTCTGTGAGAGATTTTGCTGCTTCAGTTGCGTTTGATCCTTCTTCCAGAGAGGCTTCTAAGGTCTTGTGCTCTTGGGAAGCCATTGTTGCCAATTTGTATGCGATAGGACGTCTAGAATTTTGCGGCCACAAGAGATATGGTAGCTGCAAGAAAGCAGGATATCCAAAGCTTCCAAGCTTTCGTCTGAGTGGGCCTCCAAAAAGGCAACTCGTCATCGCTTCATGACCTCAAAGTCCGAGCGGAAGAATCCGATGCTGTCCATAGACTTCGTAGGGAATTACCGTTATTCAATCTATTATCAATCGATTGAGAAATTGCAGTGGTACAGCTTCCCCTCTAGTCAAGGGAAACAACATGTGGGATTGGGAGGGGATGTAGTTGGGCCTCGGGGTACCTGGTTCAAGCCTCCTATTTAGGAAGGTCCAAGCCGCATCCTCAAACTCTCTTTATAATCAGCGTCTACTCTCCTCCAACCTCCTTCGACCTTTATCGCACGACCTGCCTGCCAAGAATATACCTTACACTTTGAGCAACTGTTCCTCCTGAAACACAGTACCTCACTGTTGGTGTCCAATTAAGAGTTCTCTATCAAATCTAAAATGTCGAATTAGCGGCTCAGGCTATAATACTTTTTGACTAACTATATTAAGCAACTGGGGCGTTTTAAGTATTCTGGGCGCAGAGTGCTTAAAATATAGAAGTAAAGGGGGTAGAACAGCTAAGAGTTACACCCTGCTAGAGTAATAAGATCGACACCCCACTATAGGTCCACTCTTATACGATATATATTAGCTAAAAAGATAGGGTTTTAGCTAATAGAACGCGCAATCGGACTGCTTAGTAAGAAAAAACTATCTAAGAAATAGTATAAAAGCTATTTAAAAAGGCCCTCTATATAGTAGGTTTTAATATAATCTATATAATATAGTATACTCTTAGCTATCTACCCCCTTTAGCTTTATTAACTTATTATTTATATAAAAAGGTACCTAAAAAAAAGTAGAATTTATAAGTAATAAAAACTTATTAAAGGACCTTATTACTATAACTTTATAAACTTAAAGAAACTTTAGTATTTATAAATAATAATAGATAAAAAAATACTTAATTAAACAAATAACTTCTAGAGTATATAAATATATATAAAAATACTATAATATTAAAATAATTTCTTAACTATATAACTAGAACGCCTACTAAGAAGCCTAGAAATGTCTTTATAAAAGAAGGTTTATAATATATAAAATCCTACCTAGTAATCCCTTTAACTAGTATTATAGTCTTTAAAGCTATAACCTTCTATTATTATAATTGTCTTATCTATCTACTATAATTTATATACTTATAAAATAAGGTTATTCCTACTTCCTAGCCCCTAGATAGAATAATTACCCTACGTCGATATTAGATAAAATTTATAGTACTTAAAGTTATAATATTAACTATTAATTACTTTTTATTATTCTTTATATAATCTATAAAGGAATTATTAGTAGGGAACTATTCTTAGCTTATATATATATCTTACTAGCTATCTACTAGTCGATTTTAACTTAATTATATACTAGAAATAGTATTTTCTTATTCTTAATTACTACTTCTAGTAGGGAATAACTATATAAATTAAAGGAAGGTTCTCTAAGAGGCTTGAGCCTAGTATATTACCGCCTACTATTTTAAAGTATTAATAGCCTTATATTTACTTATATAAAGTAAATCCTTATAAGAGAATAAAATAAGATTATTAATACTTATATACTATTATAGAACGTACTAGAGTTTACCTCTTTATTTACTTAGTATATAACTCCTATATTAGGCGATACTACCTATATACTATATAGTTTTAGAAGAGTTGAAGCTAGTCTTATATAAGTTATAATAGTCTTATATAAGTTATACTAGTCTTATATAAGTTACGCTAGTTCTATTTAGGAAAGGTTTTATAGTATAAGAGAGCTTCTATATTAAAGTACTACTTGTAACGAATACTCAAACTGGCTAACTAAACTTGGCTGGGTGTTCGCTGGTTGGTATGCTATGATAAGAAGAAGACTATCGGGTTGTTCACTTGGAAGTGAACTCGTTACTTGTATCAAAGATGTCAAACTAATATGATAAGATTGATAACTAAGTTGAGCACGAAGCTCCTATCTAATGGCAGACGTGCCAGTATTATATAGAACCCTCGTTCCCATGGTCGCCATGGTCGAACAGTCGCCCATGGTCGACACGGTCGACCGTGTCGGCCATGTCGCTGGTCACGTGATTCCAACCCAAGGAAATCCCTGGATCGCTTAGCTAGCCCAAACGATCCCTTATTTGCTATAAGTCTATAGATGTGCTTGACCTGTCAGGACGCCGCCTGGTCTTCACTTATCACGTGTGCACGTGATTCGTGACACTACTTTACTCTAGCTAGCTACTATAAATCTATCTACTTTTTATAGCTTATTCTAATAGTCTCCCGTTTTATTCTTAATATATCTCCTCCGTGGTACGTGTCCCGCCAAGGTAGTTTTCGCGTTTAGTAAGGTCGTATGCTAACGATATTTCTCCTATTTACGCGCCGGATTTCTCGGCAACTAAGGAGTATTTCTTACTATATAGGATTCTATACTAAAAATTTAATATTTTCTAGGAATTTTTAGTAGAATTAAAATTAAATATATAAAAAGTTGAAAATAGTTAAAAAAGTATAATAAAGTTCGACTTAAAAGTACGTACTTTCCTATAAGTTTTAACCTACTACTACTACTACTACTACTACTACTACTACTACTACTACTACTACTACTACTACTACTACTACTACTACTACTACTACTACTACTACTACTACTACTACTACTACTACTTCTACTAGGATAGTAGAAGGCTAGGGTATCTCTTCCTTTTTAAATATTAATTCCTTAATCTATAGAAGAGCCTTAATATTAATCCCTATATATTATAAGTCTTAAACGAAAAACCCCGCTACCTAATAATAAAGATAATATAGATAAAGACGCCGACGATATACTACCTCTCGATCTCTTTCTTAATCCTTTAAACGATTCCGAGCCCGAGGATAATATAATTAAGTAAATACTATTAGGGCTAGTAAATAATAACTTAGATAATAATAATTATCTACTAGAGAGTTTAGTTAATAGATATAGCGAACTCAGTATAGAAGTCCTAAATAAAATAGTCTTTGTCTACTCAGATATAGAGTAATATAATATTAAGAACGAGGGAGTAATTAATAAGTAACTAGCCTCTTTACTAGTACTAAGTTTATATTATAAGTAGGAATAGGAGGGGATTAACAAGACCATCTTTAATAGAAGTATATCCTACTATAATATTTTAGTCTTTAGTTCTTATACGGAGGATTTATCGGGGATCTATAAAACGATTTATAGTAGAGCTTATATACTAATTAACTTTAAACCTCTTAATAGGAACCCTCCTCGTTTAGTAGGACTACTACTTCCTATAATAATTTCAAGGCTAATTAACTTCTTTCTTCTCTTCTTTACTACTTCGATTTTATCTACGATTATTAAGAATACTAACCTTTATATATAAAGTAAGAACTTACCTACCTTATAGAAAACTTTTACCTTAGAGGAGTTCTATATATTTATTATTCTTATAATATATTTTAGTATTAACTATATATTAAATAGTCTAGGCCTCTAGGATTAAGAAGTATATAACTTATATCTACTATTAAACTTTATATCTTATAGATAGTATTTATAAATTCGAGCGAACTTCTATATATATAAACCCGAAGTTAAGGCTTTAGGAGAGTCTTAGTTTATAAAGTTATTCCTACTATTTAAATAACTTTAAGAGAACTAGAAAAAGTATATATTCCTACCCTAGAACGTTATAATTAATAAGATAGTTACTAGTTTCTTAGGTCGCTTATTTTATACGTATAAAATAAAATTTAAACCTATTAAGGAAGGATACTATATATAGGCGTTATACTTTATAGAGTATATATAAGATTTCTTATTTAACTCGCGAAAGTTTAAAATAAGCTAGGTAGTATAAAAGAATAATCTTACTTTAATAGATAAATATACTCTTTCTTTAGTATTATCCTTACTAACCTATTTTTAGGTTCTACTATTTACTAGCTTATAAAGAGTCTCTTTTACTAACTCTCTTAATTCTTAATATATTTAGATAACTATTTTGAATCCCTAGCTTTATTTAAATATCTTTTAAAACTTAGAATTAGTATATATAGAACCTATTATACGTACATTATAAAACTACTATTTCCGGCCCTTTTTACTACTACTATAATAGTAATAAGGTAAAAATAATAGGAAGATTTAGTAGTAAAACTAGTAGTAGAATACCTAAGAGTTCTAGCTTTTATATAGTAAGATAATACTATAGTTAGTATAATTTCTACTATCTATAATAACAAAGGTTTTATAATCCGGGAACGTCGTTGTCCTCGAATAAATATAAGTATAGTAAATATATTAGCTCGCTAACCCTTTTTATAACGTATACCGCCTAAAGACCGAAACGATCCTCGTTTAATATACTCCCTCTAATATCGCCTAAATCTACTAATTCTATGCGTTATCGATAATTATAATAACTTTATAAATAGCGTAGATATAGTAGACTAATTATATATTTCCTACAAAATATAATAAACCTTATTAAAGAGTTAGTAGCCTCTTTTTTATTAGTTATTAAACGTCTTAATTATTAACGCTTATCTCTTATTTAAATAGTCGTCTTATATAAATAGTTAGATAAGTAAGCTCTTTAATTCTCGTATAAATAACTTATTAAATCTAATATTTTATAGGTAGTATAAAAAGATCTAGCTACCGCTACTTTCGAATTTAACTTATCTAGGATCTCCTCTAAAACGCTTAACCTATTTACTAGGTATTAGTTCTTAATTAAGGCGATCCTTTAATATAATAAAAGGCTAGTACGACTTATTATAGAAAGATTAGAAAGCGTGGTAGATATTATTATTATAGGATAAAGCGAAACAAGTATTAACTCTAAGTGTAATAAGGAATCCCTAGGCCTTAATTCGCTCTACTATTATAACGTACTATCTACTATTATAATAGTTATAAAGTTCTACTTTATAGTAAAGGATATAACTATTAGAATAAGTTCTACGATATAGTAGTAGAAGTAGATAGTAAATAACGAGATTAAGTATTATAATTAAGGTAGAGTTAGAGTATTTTATATAGCTTATACGAGTATAAGAGTTTATAGTTAAATATCTTTAAATTTACGTTTAAAAGTATTAATATTAACTTTTAATATCTTAGTAGTCCTAAAGTAAATAATTTATATAAGATAACTAGTATTATACTAATTTAGTATATAGCTTATAGATTCTAACATAAAACTACTTTACACGTACCTACTCTATATATCTATCCGGACACGTACCACGGAGGAGATACCTAGGGCTTTCGCCTACCTTAGTTAATAGCCTACTCTTACTTAGCTACTAAAATATATTATAATAATTACCCTAAAAGATATTATTCTATAGCTTAAATTATAGCTTGTTTACTCCTCTATACTTTCTATTAGTTACTTTTCTTAATTGAGTTAATACTAAGTCTTAGTAATTTTAATATTTACCTTTTAATAGAAATAATCTAAGATATTTTATTTTTCTAAGAGTATAAGGGATTAGTACTACTTTAATATATATATTAGTCTTACTTTAAAGACTTTATACTATGTAGTTGTTTTGTTATTAATTAATTATTATAGGTTTTTAGGCGCTTTACTTGGGTGGGCGGAAGCCCCGTATGTACGGGTAACTAAGTTAAAGGACAACGGCGCTATATAAAATAACAGGAGGTAGTATAAATACTCGACGAGTGGCTACGGCGGTAGCAATAGTAGAAAAGCTTAGTAGAAACATAGTAGTATATAAAGTATAAATAGCTTCAAATGGTAGATAGGAATAGCTTCGAATACTAACTTTGTTTATTAATAGTTAGGCGTGGTATAGCGCGGCGAGGGATAAAGACGCGTTTCCTAATCATACCCAAATTAGTACTAAAGTAGCAATCGGCATTTATCGAAGCCGAGTACGGCGCTAAGGGTCCAAAATGCATTATAGTCAAATCAAAAAGCATTATAGCCTGAGCCAAATTAGCCTATAAGGTTTTGCGGAAGCGCATTGGCGGCGGCATCTTTGCCGAAAAGGGTTGAGGGATTCTCGTATATCGATAAAGAAGCGATACCAGACTGATAGACATGTAGCTGGGAGAGTTATATATGAAGAGCACCATGGTTCATGTTGTTGGAAAGAGGTTCATCTATACACCTGTGGAGAGACTTTACCCTCATTTCCTCTTATCCAAAGATTGAATAGTCCAACGCAACTTGCCTAATTCAAAATGGTTAGACTTACTTCTTTGCTCTCCCTCCTCTTCATCTCTGCCTCCACTGCCCTTCCTATCCTCGAGGAGCGCGCTGCCACAACCTGCAGATCTACCGCATACACAGCCGCACAAGTAAACAGTGCTGCTCAACAAGCGTACGCCTACTACTCAAAAGGCCAGACCGTCGGAAGCAATGACTACCCACACCCCTACAACAACCGCGAGGGATTTAATTTCGCAGTTAGTGGTCCTTACCAAGGGTTTCCCTTGCTTGCTAGCAAACAAGTCTACACGGGTGGTAGCCCAGGTCGTAAGTCAATATTATCTCAACCTCAATTGAACCATGTATTAATTGTGAAAAATAGCCGACCGCGTGATTATCAACACCTCCGGAAAACTTGCCGGCGCAATTACACACACTAGTGCCAGTGGAAACGACTTTGTTGGATGCACCGGACCAAGCTAGACGACTTATGTTCAGTCAACGAGAAATGAATTGCGATTTTTGAGAAATGAAATGAACAGATGGAAATGAACGTTACGGGATGGGAATTTTGGAGTCAATGTATATATTATAGTTCTGCACATATTTTCCAGTCAAACGAAGAAACATTCCCAGGTGTTGCGAGACCAACATTCCGGCTATTTTGGGACTATTTCAGCTTCGTTCATTAATCTTACTTTTGTAGGTACAGTACGATAGTGCCTTTTCAGGAATATGAGGCCTATACCCAAATAAATACCATAGCTCCTCATCAGTTTAAACTTCTGGTAACCCTAGATCAATCGAAAGGTAGCAGACTTATAACGGCTACGTCTGGCACAAAACGTAGATAGTAAGCTATGTTCATCCTTTCCAAAGTATATTCCCACAAGGAAATCGTGCACTCTAAAGTAGATATAATTGGATGCGACAACTAGGTCGAGTTAAGACGTAAGTGCTTGGAAACCTAACCTGGTTAGCTCAACGACTTTGTTCTAGTACCTTTGCCCTATCTCCTCGACGCCCCGTATGTAAAGGGGGTGGGTGGACAGTTAATGCTGGACACTGTCACGTAGATCATATGTAAAAAAAGTCTATATCTTGCAAATCCGAGTCTTTGATTAGCTGGTTTAGCTAAAAGGCGCGGCGGAGACGTACTATGATCAGCGACAGTGTCCAGCATTGACTGTCCACCCCCTTTATATAAGAAAAGTCTATATCGCTGAGATATGAGCCTTCAATTCGCTGGTTTAGCTGAAAGGCGGGGCTAAGACGTACTATAATCAGCGACAGTGTCCAGCTTTAACTGTCTACCCCCTTTACATTTCAAATTTTAGGTTTACGATTTCCTATTTAGGCGGTCGGACTAGTCGGAACACTACTTAGGCGAGCTACGGGGCTTGGTCCGATATGCTTCGCGCCAATTAAGTTGTGCTATCTTTAGGTACCAAGACTAAAAGTAGATACCTTGAACCTAAAATTTGAAATATACATAAAGGGGGTAGACAGCTAAGAGTACACCATGTTACGCAGATCATATCAAAACCCACTATATAAGGGGCTCTTTTTAATAGCTTTTATGCTGTTTCTTAGACAGTTTTTTCTTACTAAGCATTCCGATTGCGCGTTCTATTAGCTAAAACCCTATGTTTTTGGATAAGATATATCGCATAAGAGTGGACCTATAGTGGATTATCGATGTTATTACTCTAGCAGGGTGCCAATCTTGGCTATCTACCCCCTTTACATACGGAGTACGGGGCGTCGAGGAGATCAAAAACATCTCCAAGTATGTACAAACCATCCACTCCCCCGCCTTCCCAATTTCAAGATCACCAAAAAATAAAACCCCCCCCAAAAAAAACCTGGTTCTTACCTAGACAAGCAACGGTCTATTCGCAAAAGTAGTAAGACGTTTCGCGAAACCACACGCAGTACTCGTAAGCAAATCGCCTACAAAATACCCTACAAAATACCCTACAAAATACCCTGCAAAATACCCTGCAAAATACCCTGCAAAATACAATACTCTGAAATACATTAGTAGTTGCTCCGTAGATACCCTAGCATCTTCCTACTTTTACCAAGGGACTAGACAAAACCAACCCCGTATTTACGACCTACCATCCCTCTAGCCACTAGCACTGTAGCTCCAGCCAGCGGCCAGCCTCTAGCAATCTTTACTCTATAGTAGTACATTAGCACTCCACGTCCAAATCCCCTATAAGATAAATCAACAATCTCACAATCTCCCAAACTAACACTCACCAAAACATGTAATACCTTTCTAATACTCTATCTCATTAATATACATACATACCCCTCTCTCCCTTCCCCACTTCCCCCGCTTCCTCACCAGTACTACCAATACTACACTATATCATCAACCCATCCATCTTTCATTCCCCACCTACCTAACTCTACCTAATTATCCCCTCAGTAGGCTACAGTAGTACGTATAAAACTTTTCAAGATTCCCATAAAGAAACGACAAAGCCCTGGCCAACGAGAAAAGAAAGTATTTCCCCCTCCCCTGCCTTCCTCTCAACTCAACCCAGTTCATATACCTTACACCCACCGACCACCAAATCACCAGTCAAACAGCGTAAACACAACACAAAACAACACAATCCAACAAACACCACTCTCCTCTCAAACTTTCTACAAGAAAGAAGAAAAATCGTTACAAACCAAAACCAAAACCCCCTCAAAAAAAGGAAATATCTCAAAAGGAACAAAAAATCATCATCTTAAATTACAATATCATTGGCATGAATCACTTCACTTCACTTCGCTTATCTTTCGCTTTGTCTCTCGCTTAGCTCTCGCTAGAACCTTTCACTTATGTACCCCCCTCCCTTTCCTCACAAACCACCTCCCNAAAAAAAAAAAAAAACACAACACAACAAAAGAACGCCCCCTCCTATGCTGTCCGTATCAAAATTGCGCTCGCAAAAAAAAGGACTATTATTATTGTATCATCATATCAAAATCCCCCTCCCCCCCAAAGCGACACAATCAAGAAAACCCCCAAATCAAAAGGAGTTTTCAAAAGACAACAACAACAAAAAAAAAGCCTCCAGGCTTTCCTTCCAGTTTTTCAATTCCGCCCCTGAATCTGATGTTCCATACTCGAAGCCCCACTATTCGTCCTCCCATCCACCACCTCCGCCTCCGCGCCCAGGAAATCCGGATTCTCGCGCGACGGGTTGATGGTTTGGATACTGTGGTGATGCACAAACCCCACACTCGTCGGCCGATCATCAAGGAAATCAGCCGAGAGGTTCCCTAGTGCGGAGGAGTGATGTCGCGAGTGTTGACGACTGCTCGGCTCTGGCGTGACCATACTGGAATTAGTCGAGGTCATGGAATGCTGGTGTTGGTGGTGGGAAGGGGAGCGTTGAAAGGGTAGTCGAGACGCTTCTGGTGATCCTCGTGAGCGATGGGATTGTAAAAATGGATGGGCGCCGGGGATATCAAGGTCTACGCTTGATATCTGGGATTTCCTCCGCGAGCTTTTTCGTGGTACGCTAGGTTTGCGGGAGGGGACTCGAGAGGGCAAGCCAGGAATCAGAGGCGGGGCATCTTGCTCTCTTGACTCTTCCCTACTCGTCTTACTCGCCCTCGTGGTAGCTTTTGACGGAAACCTGCTAGGTAACTCAATTCCACCACCTGGAAGATCCATCCCCGGTAATGTAGGTGGTATATCCGAGAGTCTATGCATCTCATACTCATCCTCGTTATGTGAATCTTCATTGTCAGATCCTAAAGGACTGACGAGATTCTCATTCTCATGAGCCGATTCCGGAGAAGGGATCGTATTTTCGCCCCGATCCGCATTTCTATCTCGAATCGATTCATCATCTGAATCTATAGGTCCATTTCGTACCACGCCCTGCGCAACTGGAACGCCTTCGGGTGGTGATTCTTCTCCAGGCCGCTTCATCATTTTCGGTGGCATCCGAGCACTTCGGACCACCTCAAAGCCTTTGCCTTTTTCCTTCGTTTTCCCTCCAAAAAATCCCTTAAACCACCCAGCCGCCGAAGCAGCAGGACCTGTAGGATCCGCTGGGCCAGTCTTGATCCTCCTACTAGGTACATTAGCATTCAAAGCCGGACCTCGAACCCCATAATAAAAGTCCACTTCACGTGTTGTATAATCGGCTTTAGATCGTCCAGGGCTGCCGTCCAGGGCCGCTGGTTGGGCAACTGGTGTTACTCTTCCGGAAATTGATGGACCCTCCTCAGCAGGCTCCTGGGCCCCAGTTTCTACTTGACTCCAGCGTTTGCTTGTCCAATCGCCACTAGCCCAAGAGCCTCGAGTTCTTGCTGACCCACCACCAGGCGACTCTAAAGTCGGCCGCCTAAATCTGGGAGGTCGATAATATGGATCTGAGGCTTCTGCTGTATCCAGTGTTGTAGTTCGGTTACGGCCAAGACCCGATGGGACAGCTGCGGATGGTAGGAAGGAGAAAGTGCTTGCTTCCCCTGGGGTAGTAGGAGTATATGAGCTACCCCCTCCACCACCGAGAGCATGTGAAGGTATCGCACCGTATGCCTCTATTCCTCCTTGGTCCATAAATGTGCTCTGTCGATTCAAAAGCACACCAGTACTGCCTGCTGACTGGCTTCTTAACCTCCCTCCTTCCAACATATATGCCTTTCTATCATTCTCAGCATCCAACATTGCAGTACGAAACAATTGACTCTGTCTCGAAGCTCCGTCGCGTCTTGGCATTCGTTTCGATAATTGTCGCATGCCAAACACCCTCACCAACCCGCCTCTGGCCGCATTGCTAGCATTTCCACCAGCTCCCGTCATGCGAGCTGCCACTTCCACAATAGTCTGGACAGCATTCAGTAAGAACCCAAGGATTAACACGGAAGCATGTGTGAGAAGAATCGCGTATCCAATCCAGCCTTTTGGACCTGCAGTTATGCCAAGCGATGGAGCAAATGCAAGCATCAAGATGACAGTGGTAAGCCGCAGGGAGGAGAAGATTGTGTGAAACGCAACCATGGAGGTGGAAGATTGAAATGGTCGGAATGCGTGGAGGGTCAAAATGAAAATGACCTCGCAAATTGCCAAAACAACGAGTTGAGCGATTCCTGATGCTTGCAAGGCTCCTATTGCGACGCCCCTGAGTATTGACAAGAGAACGGGAATAAGGGCAAAAGAAGCTGCTTCGTCAGAATAGGTGTTGTACAATGGACCATATCTCAAAACCGTTGGAAGGTCGTCAAAAAGGTAGGACTTTGGTCGAATAGATGCGATGAAGTAGAGTAGCCAGACAGCAAACCCAAAAATCACTCCCAACATCACTACTGCGAGAGCGATAGTGACCTTGTTGTCCGTCCGGTTAAATTCCACCAGCTGGAACATTGAAAGGGTGATTATGGGAAATAAAAAGTAGTTGAACACGATCCTTACAACATTACCCACTGTGAAAGGCATATTCTTGGCTCTCAGGTCCTCTTCTGGCGTTTTGTTGATGACTCGGTAGACCCATCGAAGGAAGAATCCAATTTGGATGAGGGCGATAGTAGCTGCAATGATGACGAGAAGCCAAATTGCCATTCCAGCCCAAACATCCTCCACAGCGCTCATTCCGACCAATTGGCGCATCTTATCGAGTCCGTATCTCCCCCAAGTGACATAGACACCATCGACAAGACTTATGGTTGGAGGCCCATTCGTAACAAAGCTCTCGTTGAACATGAGAGTAGACCATGCAACTTGACTGGCAACTGGCTGATAAAATCCCGGATAGTTGAGTGTAAGTGCTCCAGTGAGAGAAATAAACTGTATGTATTGCAAGCAATCCCCAAAGCCGGGAGTTACCAAACGTAGCAAGTCCTCATCACGTCCATAATTTGAAGTCCAGCGAAATGTGTCTGATGAGCCCCATGGACTGAAAATCCCGGCAAAAGCTGTAGCAAACCCAACAAGTATGAGGATTAATAGAGGCATATACGTCATCAGATTCGTGAGGGTTGTGCCCAGATCTGGAGTTATTTCTGCTGAGATACATCCTATGGTTGTAGCCTCTGGATCTCCATATTTGACCAGAAGTGTGGGAGTAAAGGAAGTAAAGGCATATGTGGAGAAGAAGCTATTATTGAAGCCAAAAGATGGCCATTCGGATCGTATGCTCCTAGAATGAACGTTAGTAAAATACCTATAAATCTAAAAAAAGATTTCCCAGCTTACCCATTTGCGCGTTGCCTCGGTGCCAGAGGACAGGAACTATTTACCAACACATCACAGAACCTTTCCCCTCCATCATTATTCCAGGGTTCGTAGGTAAGCACATTGACTTTGTTGAATAAGGTAGTCGCCTTGGACTCGTTCGCCGCTCTGAGATCGGGTCTGGGTTCATCTATAATTTTGCCTCCTCTGCCTGTGTCATTAAGGTCCGTCCAGTACTCATTATCCCAAGGTGGTAAGTCTTGAGGCACAATTCTTCTTTCCGGACCTGATCCCGTAACATTTACCCAAACCCGCACGAACAAGGTATGATTTTCGTTTTTCGTATCGAAGACGGCGTCCATGAACAATGGCATGAGCTGTAATTGTAATGGCTTGTCTTGCTCAACCGAGTCGGAGAGGCAATTCTCGAATTGAATATCGATAGCAGCAGTTGGCAGGATCCAGAGACCGAGGACCAGTATTAAAAAAGAAGCAAATCTGCCAAAATACCCCCTCTGTCCCCATCTCGAGAAGGCCATATTGCCAGGCTGCCACCGCACCGTTTCGTGTCGAGGTTGAGAATTTGATTCTGAGTTCGAAATTGGGGACCGTCCTTCCACCATTTTTCGTCCGATCTTATGTCTTTCCCTTCCACCCGCTTGCCACTTCCATGCATCTTTCACCTCCACCGACTGTGTCATCGCGTCGTCTCGACTGGGACTCCTTCTCCCACTTCGCACATGGTCATCGCCGCGGTATTGCTCCTGGGTGGCCTTCTGGCGGGATCTCGACGTTTCCATAGCATTGGCATTCACAGACGTCGTCGCAACATCGACGAGAAGCGCTTGGGGGAACCGCATCCAACAACCAAAGCTAGCATGCAGGTGAATTCTATTCCTCAACGCATGATGAGCTAGCTGGGTGACTGCGGAACGCTTCTCGTGGGTGGTATATTCGGATACCTTCCTTTCCTCTGCTCTGCTTTTTCCAGAGTCCGGTCCGTTCCTTGGAGCCCAAGCTGTGGACGGATAGAGGGTTAACGATGACGGGGCCGCCAATGCCAGCAAGCGTGCAACTCTGCCAGTGGTTCGTTGATGAGCTTCTGAAACAAATGGGGAGGAGCTTTTCTTTCGTATCGGGCCCAAAATTCTCCGCTCTGATCGCCCTGCGCGCCACAGTTAATTGGACGCCAACGACCTCGATAAAATATTCGTAAGCAAACGACCGTAGGTTGGTTGTTTGGTTTGGAGAGTGGTGGTGATGAACGAACCAGACGATTCTGGTCCTGTGGGTGATGTGCAGTAAGTACTCGGTACCAGTACAGTTGTCAGTTCAGGTTGTCAATACCATACTATTATTGGGTGCAGGTGGTAGTGAAGTCGCAGTCGCAGTGCCTTGGGCAAACTTTGATAGGCGATACAGTAGGGGGCGGAAGCGGGCAGTCGTCTAGAGCGAGCGAGAGCCAGAACCCAAATGAAAAATGTTGAGTAACCAGGAAAAATCCAGGAATCCAAGTTTCTGCCAAATCTTGAATTCGGAATTTCATCCAATGTATCTCGCAATGCAATGCGCGACCGCCTGAACTCTACCTCTATCCAGCAGCCCAGCCAAGTCCTGGCCTCGTATCACAACAGAATACCTGTATCTTACAGACAACAACCTCCCCACTGAACTTATCAACCCCCAAAGTTCCAGGCACGCACCCATCAACCCAGCTAATAAAACCCTACTCCCTACCCCATAACGATCTATACCACCTACTTCTATATAAACCAAAGTAAATAACCAATATCCCATCACATCATCACAAAATCTCCCCTCCTTCTCCCTCCTCCTTCCTCCAAACCCGTCCAAATCCATCCAAACCCAGAAACCCAAAACCCCCAAACGAACGAAGAATCTCCACCGCGATAAACAATTCCCCGGATCAACTAACGACGAACCAAAACAAGCGACACGATTGGACGACCCACGAACGCAACCGAGGGAGCCTCCTCCGTCATATCTATTTTTAGAAACACCCAAGTCGGATCCAAGCCAAGGAAACTAAAACTCTACTAGTACTAGTCCTGGGTACCTACACAGCCCTCCCAGGTTCTTCCCTTCTCAACACATGACATGAATGCCGTTTAACATGCCCTATCGTAGTGGGGGTGCCAGACTCGGACTTGGAAGGTGTATATACAATATTAGAAATAAGCACTTTACAGACGGTCTTTGGTACATTTGGTAAGTTCACAGTGGTAATCAAGTTACATTACAAAAACAGAATCGATCGAATCGTTGCCAACTTAACTTGGCCTATATATATCTAGTATACAACGTAGGCACTTAGTAATCTTTATACTACCAAATAACCAAGACTTATATTCTCCTAACCCTAACCCTAACCCTAACTATTCTATCCTGAATTCCTAACCCTACTAGTAAAAAAATAAGGTATTCTAGTAGTATTTAAGTAATAAAAAAGAGGTAGAGAATCTTATAGTAGCGGTAGTAGCTAGTACGTAAGCTTATACATATACATATATTATTTATACCAAGTTAGCTACCATTAATCGATTCCACGCACTACCAAAACAACACCCTCTCCATCGTACCGTAGTAAATCGTCCTTATAAGAAATACCGGGGTAGGCGAGTAGAGTACGAGCCGTATAACTCGTAGAACTTAGAAACTAGAGGCTCCTACCATACTACAAGCCTAACCCAACCCCAAATACCTAAATAAACAACCGACTCCACCTAACATCTATCAATCCGTCCTCCTCAAAATCCACTCTACGTGAACTCCCTACACAACACAACACAACACAACACTCCGTCATACCCCAAAAACCCTCTCCCAGACAATCAATCAGTCACTCCTAACCCCATCCCCAACCCTAAGCCCTACCTATCCTATCCTATCCTACCCTATCCTACCCTATCCTACCTCCTCCCCCCGCTCTCCCTCTTCGGCCCTTACCAGGAGCCAGGACATCTCAGTTACCAACAAAGCTTATTTAACAACCTCCTCAATGCCTCATCTCATTTCACAAAAATACTCAAGGTTTATCATATTAAGCAAGCACCCCATTTCCATTTCCATTTCGATTTTCATTCTCATTCTCATTCTAAAAAAGAAAAAAGAAAATCAACGCTAAAAAATCGGTATGGAATCCCTCCATTCCTGTTAACACACCTGGCAAGAAAGAGAGAGAGGAAGTAGCAGTAAAAGATTCTCCTCTCGTTGCAGTTTTTAATTTCCTTTGTCTTTTTTTTTTATAAAAAAAGGGCTGCGGATGAAAAATCATATCAGGAAAAAAGAGAATGAAAAGAAAAAACTCCCCCGCAAATATGCATATGCCACCCAAATTCCTAATACAAACAACATTTCCTCCCTAGTGCACCCACCATGCTCCGCCCCTCCCCTCGTACAATTATCCATTATCTAATCCACATATCTTGGTCCGTCGTCCTGCCAGTTCGCAGCTGGGGTTTCCGGCACACCATAAGCACCAGGTGTAGGCGCACCATAATATCCTTGTTGGCCACCGGGAGTAGGAGCGTCCATTGCCTGAGGCGTAGGTGCACCCCAAGCACCACCCCATCCAGGAGCAGGCGTGGGTGCCGCTCCAGGTGTAGGTGCATTATACGGGGCGGGCGTAGGTGCTGAGTAGGCGCCTGGTGTTGGGGCGTTCAGAGCAGCAGGTGTTGGCGCTGACATGGGGTTGCCGGGTGTTGGAGCATCATAAGGATTTGAGCCTCCCCAGCCTTGTCCACCAGAAGGTTGATTTGCTTCCCAACTTTCAGCAGCGGGCGTGGGCTGATTGTAGGCTGGTGTTTTGGAGCCCCAAGAATCACCACCGCCCCCGGAGTAACCAGGAGTCTTGGAACCGGCATCGAATCCTGATTGTCCATACGGAGTTTTGGCTCCCGAAGACCAAGCTGGAGTTCGGTTACCTCCTCCATAAGATGTTCTACTACCATCATAAGGATTGGCAGTTCGTGATCCGTCAGCCCAAGCTGGGGTTCGGCCTCCGTTGTTATCAGGAGCTTTCCACGCGGGGGTTCGTCCACCACCGTTGGCCATAGCAGGTGCTAGATACGTTAGTAAAAATCGGAAATGATAAGAGCAAAGAAGACTTACTTCCTCTGCCCCAAGCTGGCGTTCGACCAACATCACCGCCAGCCGCAGGCGTACGTCCGCCTTCCCATCCGCTTCCCACATGCGGAGTAGCTCCTCGTCCCCCGCCTCTTGGAGTAAAACCGCCTCTACCACCTCTCGAGTTGACATCAATCGTGGCTCCAGTAAGTTTGTCTTTGAAGGCCAAAGCATCCTTTGGTACATTGACAGTCTTGTTTTTGGTATGAAGCTCAACACGAGCATTGTTGTCAGAAGTCTCCTTTACAATACCAAGTAGTCCCTTATAAGGTCCCTTTCGAATGGTGACTGTCTGACCAATAGAGCGATCTCTGCCAAAAGATTTGGGAGGTGGCATGTCTCCACCAGGGGCAGCTCCAGGGTTACGCTTCATTGCTGGATTCATCGAAGTCAAGTCAGGTCCGGCATTGACTGCGGTAACACCCTTGGCAGCCATACTGTTGACGGCATTCGTACGTGTAACGAAGATGCCAGCGTTCTTGCTTTGAGAAGAGCTCTTCAGGTAAAGGTAGGTTCGGTGGATATGAATGATCTTGCCGGTTCTGCCCTCTCCTCCATACTCCTTGACGTTCTCCTCAAGCTTGATCTCATTACCACTACGATCAGTGGCAATACCACCGCCTCGTTGTTTCTCAATCTTGTTGGAAATTTGAGATGGCATGACCGTTCGTGTCTGATTGTTCTGATCCAAAACGACCATCGACTCTCGATCAACCTTAACAATACAGGCAACAGTCGCGGCATCTAATTGAACCAAGTCCCAAAGCTCGTACTTTCCAAGAGAACCACTGCCACCAGAGTCGCTTGCTTCTCGCAAATCTTTGCTGAACACTGTGATTTCAGCGTTTCCGTGATCACTCAACAAAGTAACACGGTCTTCGACAATTTTGACCACCATACCAACTTCATCACGATATCGACTGCCACCAATAACTTTGACGTGATCACCCTCTCTGAATCTCTTGCGAAGGCCTTTAACAGGAACCTCGATGGTCTTGCCTCTCAAAGGACCCTCCAAAACCGCCATTGTGACAATATCGCTTCGGATGGATATGGCTTTACCCAAAACCCCCTTTTGCTCGCCATCGTAGACTTCAATTATGTCACCAGGTTGATATGATGTGTTTACGGTACTCGACTTGAGACTTGCAGCTAGGGCGTTCAAATCAAGATTCTCAGTGCCATCATCTTGGCCACTCGCGAATCTGGTCACTTCTTCCAAGGTTGGGTTGACATCCTTCGTGTCAATTGCTTGAAGTTTGACGTCCTTTTCACAGAAACCATTAATGTAGTCATCTCCAAGGTATGACCAGGTCTTTGATTGTGGGTTTCCTTGCAAATATTTGGCGTGTCTTTTCTTTGCATCAACCTCAGAGAAGAGTCGCTGTGGTGGTCGAGGACCCGCTGTAACTCGCTTTCTCTTTCCACCATCTGGGCCTGCGCCGACATCTTCATGCATGCCATAATCTAAGCGAGGCACATATCGAACACGAAGTTCCAAACCAGTGTCTGTCACATCGATAATCTGTGCAAGATCTCCAGAGTACTTGGGGGGTCGCTTTAGCCGAACGTAAGCTCCAGGTTCCAGGGCAGCGGTTTTCGTAACTCTAAGAAGGTCGGGCATTTCCTTGATCTCAATCATTTCCATCTTCGTACGTGGGTAGATATTCATGAGGCCATCCAAAGCAGTCAAAATATCCGAGGCCCGCTGAGCTTCCACATAAATATACCCCTTCATGGTTGATTGTGTTCCGCCTCTCTCAAAAGCAGATGTGATCGCAAGTTCGTCCTTGGTGCCCATTTTTTCCTCGATTCGTTTCATGATGGAGAAAATGGCCTCCTTTTCCTTGCCCTCTTTACATCGAACTGCCCAGATACTTGGATCATTGATACTGGGGAGAAGAAGTCGTCGTGGAACAATATCAGAGTCGCCCAGGCCTTTACCACTTCCTCTCTTGTTGGAGTATCGCAAGCGAAGTGCTTCGGCTTGCTGCTCTGCGTCCATGCTAGCTTCTAGCTCACGCTGTCTATCCAGCTCTCTATGTCGTCTATCGTCCATCTCACCACCGGCCGGAAGATCTGCCTCGTCATCTGGATGGGTGTCTGCAATGAAATTATCTCGGATCTCATTTTCATCATCCTCATTCTCGTCTTCGTCTTCGTCTTCATCCACTTCGGCTTCAACATCGAGGAAGACATTTCGATTGCTTCTCTTTACGCGCTTTCGTTTGGGACCCTAGAATTGGTTAGCGACCGCGATTTCAGAATACTCAAGATTCATAGCTCTGAATAAAACTCCGCAAGGCAGCAATGGCAGCCCAAATGATAGCCCGAGGGGTAAAACCTACTGAGATTTCCTCTTCGTCTTCGTCCTCTTCCTCGTCTTCCTCATCGTCATCATCTCCGCCTTCCTCGTCATCCTCGTCATCATTTTGCGCAGGTCGCGCTCGCCCATTATCGCCATCTTCATCCTCAGAATCATCATCATGGTTTACGCGCCCTTTAGAAGCTTCATTTTGGATTTGCGCGCCGGCATCCTCGTCATCGTCTCCGCCCTCAGCATCCGATAAGTCGGCAGGTTGGGGGTTGAAGTTATCATCTTCCTCATCACTGTCGTCGAGATTTCGATTGAGAAGGTTCGAGGTCGACATTTTGGTAGTTCGCAACGTATGCGATCGGATTCAGGGTGTAGATGCAGTATTTGTACTCAAAAAGTTTGGCGACGTCGGTTTTAGGCAGCAATCCGATACCAAAGGTTTGCGACAGATGGTCTGGAGCTTCCAGTCGGACGGGAGATGGTGTGCAGGCAATGGGAGAAGAGTTGAACTGCTTTGTACTTTCAAAGGTTGAAGCCAGAAGCTCAAGATCAATCTTGAGCTAGGCCTAACTAGGCTGTTCATGTGGGTCCAAATAGACCCCTGTTGTCGTGGGCCTGAAGGTAGACAACACTTCTCCCTTCACCTAACAATAGTTGACTGCATCATCACTTTTCCAAAAGAACAATCCACCAGTGAATCGTAACATGGAAACAAAGTCCATAGCCTTACTCATTGGTCTTCACTTTCTTCATTCTAGATCTGTGTCATCTTCATCACGAATGGCAATACCATCCTGACTCTGGGAACTTAAGAAAACCTCTTACAGGGGGTGCAAGAACTCATAACTAAAGAGGAGGAGAAAACCAACTACTATTCCACTCTGTTTGTTCTGCATAAGCTCAAGAGTGATTTGAAGTGCTCCAAAACATTAGAAAAATTGATTGATCAAGATTCCTATTGTTTCAATCTCCAAATGGCTCCAGGTCACAGTAACAAACAACCGCATGATATCATCCCCAGTAAACATAAACTGTTCAACTCTAAAGACCAGATTTCATTGAAAATGCTATTCAATTGCTCATCGCTCTATCTAGCTCTCATCTCTTCAACATACCTCGCATCCATGGATATCATCCGTCTTTGCTTACTTCTCTGTACTACGCTTAAAAGCATCAAGAACAAACACACAAAAATGAGTGTCCATTCCCCATAACAACGCCATGAAAATGCCTCTTTCCCATACGAACGGTGAATCTATATCCAACGAAAAAAAACATTGAAAGTGTCAGGTCCCTCGCTTGCTTACCTGCTGATTTGCTTCCAATGATGCCACTATAAAAGAACGTAAAGACTCGCTCATACATTCAAAAAGGGAAAAAGCTTTCGATCTTCTAATCGTCTATCTCCTCACAGATCCCAACCGAGATGCCAACTTGGCCTGAGCTGGAAGAGTTTGGGTAAATCTATCACGCTCTGTCGACAATGTGATGATTAGTCAAAAGAACCCCGCAATAGAGGAAGGTGACACAAAACCACCAAAGGGGGAAAACATACCAGATTCTGTTTCAAAAATAATCGTGATATCATCATGTTCTCCCGGAAACTCGGGGACATCCAGGCAAAGAAACTCATGATCACTGACCCCCTCCTGCTTCTTCGGCTTAGGCATAGCAAACTTTGCATCCACAATCTTCAATGCCCATTTTCCGCTCTTTCCCCCAGTTTCAAAAATATCGGTAGATTTAAGTGGGAAACTCATGCAGTCGCCATGACTAAAGCCCTCGAAGAATGCGAGAAGTTGTATCACCTTCTCGCGTCGGACAACTTGCAGGCGGGTTGCATTGGCATCCCATTTCTTGTAGATCGGCACCACCATCCTTCTGCGAGCGATGTTGAACGACGTAGCCATACCATCATAGAGAACAACAAATCCGGTAAGCGCAGCTTGGAAAAGGTGTAAGTCCGAAATGCTAGGGAAAAGATAAGTGCGAACCGATTGGGCTTTGGCCACAGAATCCAGCAGCTGTGCGAGTTCGTGTGGAAGTTCATGAGAAACTTGGGATTCAACAACTGAAAGAGTGATATCTTGCTGAGGCTCTCGGAAGATTTTCAGTTCCTTCGAGCTTTTGACATCGAGACGAATTTTCAACTCTCCTGTTCCAACATTGACTCTATCTGTAAGACTACCAGTTTGGAAATCAAGAGCTACGCGCAAGTGCGTAGAAAGAACAGCCTTGTTGCTTTCCAGATCACCTTCGTCTTCGTTAATCACGCGATATCCTTTCCAATCCAGTGTTTTGAAACAATTCAGGTCTTTGGTGTCTCGGGAGTAAGCTGAAAGGGAAAATGCTCGTAATGGTGCTTCGGCAACGACTTGCTCGCTACGTCCGAGCGCAGTACCAGTGATGAGTTCGTGGAGACGGCCTCTCTCAGAAGGGTCCTCAAAAGTCAAAATTGCCTTGTAATTCGATTTTGGCGTCACGATCTTCAGTAGCATGGCGGGCGCGCCATCTTCTCCACGAAGAAAGCCAAACTGAATTGGGAGGGTTGGTGGCAAATTTTCATCAATGGATCTACTGTTCTTTGTCTTTGGGTGGGTATTCAGAGCGATCCGGTATCCTCGGTGAAAGGTAACGGCACCAGATGCACCGGGCAAAGTTTCTGACTTTTCAAATAATCTGAAATGACATTGTGGTAATGACTCCTTGGGGAATCTAGACTCTGGGTTACTATCGATGTACTGGAAACTCCTGAGAATGACTTCGAATATTATCAGTTCATCTCGGCGCTGAACGAGAGCGGAGTGCACCTTGACCTGGTACTCGTATAAACCCAATATCATTCGGTAATCTTGCTCAGAGCAGTTAAGACGAAGAGTAAATCCTCTCGGCAAAGCTACTCTGATGGAGTCACTCTTCTGTTGCCAAGATACGTCATTCCATGTAGGCCCACGACTGCTATCTGAAGAGATGCACAATTTCAAACCGCCGTCTTGACTCGCAATGATGGCAGAAATTTCTTTCTCCTTGTGTCCGCGGACTAAGGATACCAATACTGGGCACCGATAATGTTCGGCGTCTTCTGACAGTACCGCGTCTACAAACATTCGACCAAAGTGAAAGTCTCTGTTGGTATCTCCGAGTGGGAATGAATCAGATAAACCTAGCGTCAGATTAGGCCGCTGACTTGAGACCAAATATTGACTTCCTTCATGTGGTGCCCAGATCGAGTTGTCTATCCCCTGTGCCAATTGCGTCTCGTTGGGATCCGCAGGCATAAAGCCGTTCCTCTTCATGGACATGGCCAACTTTCTCAAGCTAGATAAAATACTTTGCCTGACCTCCACGACAGAAGCCAAATTCGGGTCTTTTTCTGCTCCATGAGGGTCCAATATCTCCCGGCGCTGCCCGGCAACCGTCTCGTTGATCCATAAGGATTTGGCAAGATCCGCATGGGCTTGTTGTAGTGCGAAAAGCCTGCGCTTTTGGCCTTCCTGTGACGAAGGCCTATCCCGTACCGTATTCTCCAGGTTCATTCTACCTTTCAGAAACCACCATAGAGAAATTCTAGTGAGTTCTTCCATGGTGCAATTCGTGAGCGGCTTAACAGACTCGGTAGATAAGCGAAATAAAGTGAACATATGTTTGACGCGTGAAGAGAATTCCTGTACGGCTTCATCAGCGACTGCGAGGGCAGCTCCTTGCAAAGTTGTGTTACTGCGGGATAATGAAGCGGAACTTCCAGCATAGCTTTGCTGAGCCGAATTGCTTAAAAGCGATGAGCGGGGAACAGGGCTCTCAGTGAAGCTTCCTTGTGCCGTTGAAGAACGAGACATTTGAGCTGGACTTTCCATAACTGAAGAGCCTCCTTGATAAGGTTTATACACTTGGTTTGCGCCTGGGTGCAGCGAATCAGGGATATCAGTTGTGGATGGGGAGATGATGCTATTTCGCATAGTATTAATACGCAGCTGCTTCATTTGTGGTGACAATTCTGGATCTTCTGCCTGGCTTCCTTCATCCTTATTTTGCATCAATGCTCTTCCCTCGCCGGACCGCATTTCTGCTCTGACTCTCGCGGCAAAGGAGGTTGGTTCGTAGTCGTCAGGATTGGTGGGGGCTTGATTCATTGAGCCATTCCCAATTTCATTTCCTGCCGGAGCTTCTGGATAGCCACTCCCAAAACTTTCCACCGAATCATTATCGACCGGCCGTGATTGGTAGCCAGTCAGACTCCGTGAAAGAGACTTTGGTTGGAAAAAGTCTCCTGTATCCAAATTTGCGGGGTTCTCTACACCGGCATTTGAGCTATGGCCCCGGAAATCTGGTGGCAGCTGGCTTGGTTGACTTTGTTGCATAGGCTGATTGTATTGATTGTGTTGAGTATGGGATACTGGCTGCCCAGTCGTTGGATGTGTATTAGATCTCCGACGGGCTCCAATCTCTGTAACGGGGGCCATGGCTTCGTCTCCTCCCTCCCCAATGATCTCTGGCTTTTCGTTTGCAAACCGAACCATCAGTCCCTTTCTGCTTCTCTTTGGGCTGGCGGATCGTCTGCGTGGCTGTCTTATATTGGTGATTTCAGCGGCAGTGGGCCATCGAGAGGCATTGGAGGTATCAATCCGACCCAATTGCGGTTGGTTGGAGTGCTGCTGGCCTGCAGAGAATGCATTCGCCGCTGGGCCGAGAAAGTCGTCAACACTGACTCCCACGTCTCTCTCCTTTTTTTCCTTCTCCTTGAACAGCTTGCCCATGAAGCGATTCTTTGCCTTCTTCTCCTCCTTCCCTTGATATGTGGCCTCCTCCATGGCAGCGGTCGCGTGCTCCTGGTGTTTATCTACTTGCGGTGTTCAATCAAACTGCTCGGTCTGATGTGCCGTGCCAGAGAACTAGAGATGTCAGTTCTGCAGATTGCCAATATATGAGGAGTCGTGAATGCAATCGGGCGCGGGGCACAGCGCTAAATGCGGATGGACGAGATATGTGGATGGCAGGTTGCAGATTGGCTTAAGCTTGCAGATGGTGAGTGGAATTTGGGCGTGAGCCAGGTCGTCGGATTCACGAGTCCCTAACTCCTTTTTTAATAGAACAGATTAAGTTTTTGGGCAGTTGACACACACAGTACGGACGCAGTTGCCTTTGGAAGGGACCACGCATGGAGTACGGAGTATGTTGAACCCTCCCCACAGTTGGTTTCAGGGGTTCTCTAACGGCTGTCTCCCCCTCGAACCACCCACCTTCAGATTTCAGACTTCAGACGCGGCTGACTCAGCACCACCACCGTCATCAAGCCCAAGCATACGCCCAATATCTAGGGCCTCCCTTCTTGTGCTCTAGCCTCTAGGCCTCTTCCCTCCCTGCAAACGGAGGTCTACAGTGTCAACCTTATTCATGGAATATGCCCAAGCGAGTACGAGGGGAGGAAACTTTCTGATAGAAGTATCAAGAGATAGAGATACAGAGATAGTCCACATCAACAGTATCAGTAGCGAGAATACTTCTCTGAAGTCGAGTGGTCCCCAGCTATCGATACTTTTCTGATTGAAACCACAGCGGGGTAAAAATATACCCGCACTTCGAGCTTCGCTTGTGACATTAGAATGCTCACCGAATGTTTCCAATTTCTGACTGCATCGGCCCTGGGGGCGAAGCAACGGTGTGCGGGTGTATTTGTGCGAATCGTGCGTGACTTATCCAAATATGTCAATTCGTGTCCGTAAATAAACGTATTTCGTACCAACAGAGCAGAGACCAATGGCTGGGTGTTGGATTGGGGTCATCAACCAACATACGGTACGAAATATGGTAAATTGTATCCACAAATAGCTTGGACGAGAGGCGGAGGAGTTTGCGATGGTTGGTAAATTGATTTGGAGAAACCACAGCCACAGGAGAGTTGCAATGAGTTGGAATGGAGGCCGAGCTTGTGCTGGTTGGCGATATCTTGGTGCGGCTTGGAAGTTGCTTAAGATGATGATCGATGTTGCATCGTGCCGGCAGTCGAGCACTCTGTACAATCCAGCAAAGTTGTGCGAGCAAGATATCCTGTGTGGAAGGGTGGACGGGGTTTATCATGTAAAAAGCTTGGAGGGGTGGTAGAGTACTCCCGCGGTTGACATGAAAAATGGTTGCCAATAACCTCATTGTTTGATTGTTGGAGATTGATTCTTGATGAGTTGGAATACTCTAAGATGATTGAGTTGCTTTCTCGTTCATCTAGAGTAACTACTCAAGTTGGCCTGGGAAAAACGAAAAATGAGAGACGTATCTGCTACTATTTTCTTATCGACTGAGCTATCTAGCTTGTCCAACTGAATTCTCGATCTCAAATCTCGATGAGTGGAGAAGAACTCACGATAAATACGACCTTGGGAAGGTGGTAGTATGCATATATCACCACACATTTCTGCATCAACCCAAGCGGTGGACCCGGGTATACACGTGGATAAATCTGATGATCTTTGGTTTATCATTCGCATAAGATAAGCTTCCAAAGAACAATTGGACAGTTGTTCCAGTAATTGTTCACTGCCCCTTTTGTAGTATTCCCGGCATTCGGGGAAGAGACTTGGGTATAACTACAGTCATGCCTGGCTTGCCGAGCCCCTGAAATCAAATATCTTCAGAGATACCAATGTCGGGTAACCGAAAGAAGATTATCATGTCGAAAAGGTACGAGAATTGCGAAAAACAAAATTGAATACGGAGTACCTGGACTTGCGGTGAGGCATGTGCACAGTTTTCGTACTCATAACTACTTTGGTAGTTGTAAACAGATATATACAAGAAAAAGGAGTAATAGTGAACGTCAAGCTCGGTGTTTCGTGATGATAGGTGGGAGTCTACACTCGCAGTTGCCTAAAAAACTTAACGGAGAAGCAAAAGCAGAAAATAGATGGCCGATACACAAGTACTCGTCCTTAGGAGACCACTACATGTCGCTTAGCAATCAGCCTAATTGCCATACTGATACTCTCCAAACTCAATCTTCAAATTTAATATGTAGGGAGAAGAGCAGCATAAGTATGATAGAAGTATATATGATCCAAGGGGATAAAAATATTCGTCACATACCCTGTTCCAGTGCTGGTCCAGCTGAAGACTGGGTTTGCTTCAGCCCAGCAGCAAAGCCATTGAAGCATTTCGGGCGCGGCGAGAAGACTTTTGTCCAATGATAGAGATCGCTGTCACCCCCAGATTTGGAAAGCCTGTGGAAGGCCAGAGGCTAGGTAGCTCAGGCTAGCCTTCCGGCCTTGGTGTCCACTGCTCCCAGCGATTCCCTGTATATTCCCCGTAATTCCTTGGAGGGTGCAGATATCTGGTCGAGGGTGATTGGGTGGCGGAGGGTCTTGGGGGTGAGACTTGGTGCATGGAGAGAGTCAATCTTTCGTCATACTTTAAGCAACTGGTTACTGGGTAGAACTGGCCCAGTGGCACCTTTCCGGGAAACAGGATAACAGGACACAGAGATCAATAGTTACAAGTATCTGTCACTGCCACTGCCACTGTCACCGACTGACTCTCCCTCCCTTTGGCCTCCCTTTGGCCTCCCTCTGCCCAAAATCCCTCGTTTTAATTTCACTGCCGGCTTTGCGGTGCTGGTTCTGGTGCTGCCCCTCTTGAAATCCCACACCCAGCAATTTCGGGCCAGCAAGCCTTCGGACCCTCACCCTGGACAACCTGGAGATCGCTTGTCCGGGAGCTACAATTAAGCTAGTGCATCTCATCGCCATCGTCATTCTCCTAACTGCCAACAATCAACTCATTGTGCGAGACAAGAATCCGACAACGACAACCACCATAACCTCCCAACCTCCTGCCCTCGTCCGACAATACAAAATCACCATCTGGCCCAGTCAGGAGCTCTTGAGCAATCCAGATCCCCGTCTGCAGCCTCCAGCCAATTGCACCAAGAAAGACACTATTCACCCATCCACCACGTCACTTACTTTGTTGTTGGTGAAATACTAACGCATCTCCTTTCGCCCATCTCCTCCCTCTCCATCCATCTCACCATTTATATTTGAACCCAAATTACATGTCGGTCGGAAGCAATTGATTGCCACAACACCACTGAAACCTGCCCAACATGGCGTGGAACTCTGAGGCGGCAGAGCTAAAGACGCAAGGTGTCATAGAGGCTGCACAAGATCCCAATTCCTCCACGACTGCTGGCGATGCTCAAAGAAAGATGGTGGCAGAGAGCAAGAAGGCGGGTGTTGCAGCCTTCAACTTTGATCCAGATGCATCTCCAGAACAGAAGGCAGCTCAAGCACGAGCAGTAAGACTTTCCGATCTCCTTCTACAGAACAGACTTGGCTAATTCATAATCTCAGCGCGTCCCAGACGGCTTCCACCATGAACACAAGTCTAAAGGAGTAGCTGTCCCAACCGATATTGATGATGGAGGACCGGGCGCCTACGATCTACCTTCGCCGACCACAGCTGGTGCTATTGCCGCTCCAAGTCACCAAAAGGATGCCTCTGGCAAACCACTTACAAATGGAGTCGCTGATGAATTGGAGTATGAGGACTACGAGCGATGGGTAGAGAGAACAGGATGGGCACCTAGATTTGGAAATGGCGATGACGACGACGAGGATACTACACTACTAGATCACCAAACCTGGGTTGAAGGAAAACTCGATGATAAATTCTTTGGAGGTAAGTTGCACATTTCAAGTTGCTCAGTGCTCAACTAATACTTTACTCTATAGACTGGTATCACAACACAGCGGTCATCGTTTTCGCATGTCTTTCCTCTTGGTTCGTAGCAACCTTAGGAGGTGGATTAGGCTGGGTCTTCATTATTATGGCGATTTGCGGCACATATTATCGAACCTCGCTGCGACGAGTACGAAGAAACTTCCGAGACGACGTCAACCGAGAAATGGCCAAACACAAGCTAGAAACTGATACCGAAAGTCTGGAGTGGATGAATAGCTTCTTAGTCAAATTCTGGCCCATCTTTCAACCCGTCCTGGCAGAAACAATCATCAATTCCGTTGATCAAGTTCTCAGCACCGCCACCCCTGCTTTCCTAGACAGCCTCAAAATGAAGACGTTCACTCTTGGCAGCAAACCACCACGAATGGAGCATGTCAGAACTTACCCAAAAGCAGAGGATGATATTGTTCTCATGGACTGGAGATTTAGTTTCACACCCACCGATCACTCTGATATGACATCCAAACAGATCAAAAATAAAGTAAATCCCAAAGTGGTCCTCGAAATCAGAATCGGCAAAGCCATGATCAGCAAAGGACTAGACGTCATTGTGGAAGACATGGCCTTTTCGGGTCTCATGCGTGTGAAGATCAAGCTTCAGATTCCTTTCCCTCATGTCGAAAAGATTGAGGTTTGTTTCTTGGAGCCACCCACGATTGATTATGTCTGCAAACCCCTCGGTGGTGAGACGCTCGGTTTCGACATTAATTTCATCCCGGGTCTTGAATCATTCATTTTGGAACAGATTCACGCCAATATTGGTCCTATGATGTACGCACCCAATGTCTTTCCAATTGAAGTTGCAAAAATGCTTTCTGGATCAGCCGTCGACCAAGCAATTGGAGTTATGGCCATTACTCTACACGGTGCTCAAGGACTTAAGAATCCTGACAAGTTTGCTGGAACCCCTGATCCATATACAGTCATCTCTTTCAACAACGGTGCCGAACTTGCTAGGACGAAGACCATCCACGAAAACGCAAATCCCAAATGGAACGAAACCAAGCATGCTATTGTTACAAGCTACAATGATACTCTCACGATGGCAATCTTCGATTATAATGAGATTCGCAAAGACAAGGAGCTGGGTGTGACTAGTTTCCCCTTGGAGCGCGTCCAGACAATTACAGAATATGAAAATGAGCAACTGGAGATTACGGCCAATGGTAAACCTCGGGGTATCTTGGCTGCTGATATTCGCTTCTTCCCTGTTCTCGAGGGCGCCGATCTTCCGGATGGAAAGAAGGAACCACCGCCAGAGTCGAACACTGGTATTGCTCGTTTCACAATTGAGCAAGCTAAAGACCTGGACGGAACTAGAAGTTTGTATGGACAGCTCAATCCTTACGCAGTACTACTTTTGAACAATAAGGAGATTCATGTTACCAGAAAATTGAAGCGAACCAACAATCCTATCTGGGACAATGGTAGCAAAGAAATCCTAATCACTGATCGCAAATCCGCGAAGCTCGGTTTGGTGATCAAAGATGACAGAGATCTTTCTACCGACCCCATTCTCGGCACGTATCAGATCAAGCTTGATGATATGCTTGGTCTGATGGAAAAAGGTCAGGAATGGTACAATCTTTCTGGTGCAAAGACGGGGCGGGCAAAATTGACGATGCAATGGAAACCCGTGGCACTCTCTGGGGTAGGGTCTGGTACAGGAGGTTATGTGACTCCGGTTGGTATCATGCGAATCCACATCAATAATGCTAGGGACCTCCGCAACTTGGAGACCATCGGAAAATCGGATCCTTACGTTCGGATTCTACTGTCAGGTATCGAGAAAGGTCGTACAGTTACATTCCAAAACAACCTCAATCCGGACTTTGATGAGGTTATTTATGTGCCTGTTCACAATTCCCGAGAAAAGCTCATACTTGAAGTGATGGACCAGGAGACTCTTGGTAGCGATCGTTCTTTGGGACTGGTCGAAGTATTGGCCGCAGACTATGTCGAGCAGGCGGATAATGGCGAATACCTTGTTCACGATTCTAAACTCCCACATTCAGACGTATTACGCATGCATGGTAAAGGCTCGCCCAAGGGTACCCTTAACTATACAGTCTCCTTCTATCCTCTTCTCAATATTGCAGACCCAGAAGACGAAGAGGAAGCTGCAGAGAGGAGAGCCTCGTCCGAACAAGCTATCTCGGAAAGAAACCCATCCGATAGAGGCCGCATCTCAGTTGACACGGGTCTTAAGAATGGAGACGGTTCTGTTCCCCCGACTCCAACTACCTTGGCAACGAATGGCTCAATTGGACCCAGGGCTGACAGCTCACTTTCTAAGGCACTTACGGATGGTGAAAAGGAACAAGAGGAGACGAGCGAAGTCAAGAAGCTGCCTAAAATCCGACTTTCTCCAGAGGAACTCATTAAATACGAGTCTGGTCTCATCATTTTCAAGATCCTCGACGTGGAGCTTTCCGAGAAAGATGTCAAAGTGGAGGTTGTAATGGATGATATGGCCTTCGCCTCCTACTCATCATCGACAATACGATCCAAAACTGCCACACTGGATGACATTGGTGACTGCTTTGTTCGTGAGCTTGACTTTTCCAAGATCACACTTCGCATCCGTGACAAGGATTCAAGCAAAGGCGAAAACAAGAAAGAACACACAATCGCGCATTTACAAGGCAATACCTTGGATACGCTCAAGCAATGTCTTGTAAGTGCCTTACTTTCAAATCCCTTATTTCCGGCGATGATGCTAACAAGAATATAGAACAACCCTACTGTTCTCAAGATGAAGGATGAGGAAGGCAGAGTCAGTAGTATCAAAGTCAGCTTGAAGTACATACCAGTCAAGATGACACTTGATCCAAGTGAGAGTATCAACAACATGGGTAAACTCCGTGTTGATGTTCTTGACGGTGCGGATCTACCATCTGCAGATCGCAATGGATACAGTGATCCATATTGCAAGTTTGAGCTCAATGGCAAAGATGTTTTCAAAACCAAGGTACAAAAGAAGACACTTCATCCTGCTTGGAACGAATTCTTCGAGGTCGACATTCCCTCGAGAACCGCTGCCAAGTTCAACTGCAAGGTATACGATTGGGACTTTGGTGAGAAGGCGGACTTCTTGGGCGGTGCGGATGTAAACCTTGAGCTGTTGGACCCCTTCAAGGCTCAAGAACTCAACCTATCTCTTGATGGAAAGTCGGGTTCAATCAGGTTGCGTCTACTATTCCGACCTGACTACGTCACACGCTCTCGACAGGGCTCTTCTACCTTCTCCGGTACTTTTGCTACTCCAGGCAAGATAGTCACTGGCGTTGCTGGTGCGCCAATCAAGGGAGTTGGTTTCGCAGCACATGGTGTTGGTAAAGGTGCATCGTTCATTAAACACGGTTTCAGCCGCAAGAAGAAGGACGAAGAACCCAATGGAGCCAGTCCCGTTGTGATGGATTCTGAAGATGCTTCATTCTCTGTTGGGGGTTTTGGAGGCCCTCGAAGATCTAGTGCACTTCCTCCGCCGAGTGATGTTTCGGCTCCCATCACGCCCCCTGGAAGTTCCTTGGGCCTGCCTCATCACAGTCGAACAAAGAGTTTTGGTCAGGGTTCGATGCATAGCGTGTTCGGCTCCTCACCAGGCGCGGCGTCGACGGGTACTGCCAACTTTACAATCATTTCTGCCGCTGGTTATCCTCCATCATCGAGTGTCATGGTTTACGTGAAGCAGATTGGCCCCAAGGTGAAAGTGCTTCACAAGACTGAGCACATCAAGTCCCCGTCCGGAATGGTAAACTTCAATGAGAAGAAAGAAAGTTTCAGATGTGCTTGTTCCGCAGATACACAATTTCAAATTTCTGTCAAGGGACACAACACTTTCGGCAGTGATGATGATCTTGGAGAGGGACTCTTGTTCGTCGACGAATCTGGAAGCGGACAGGAGAAAAGTGTCAAGGCTGGCAGTGGTCACGTCATGATCAAGAGCAACTTCATCCTTACGCCTGAGGAGCCGGAAAGTCCAAAGGGATTACGACGAAGCTTTTTGAGTAAGAAGGAGCCCAATGGAAGACCGAGTCGTGAGGTCACACCTACGCCACCTTGAATTCGCGCATGAGTGCTTTGGGTATGAATGGGCATGGGAGCGTGGTCGTTGTGGTAATGGTATGTGGATGAAATCGTATTTAAGCGTGTTGCGTTTGGTCGATCTTTACTTCTCTTCTTCGTTTTTGTTTTTTTTGCGATACCACCTTTTTCTTCCTTCGTTGGCTTTCTTCTCTCTTTTAATCTATTGCGAGGAGTGGAAAAGTGATGTTTTTTTTAATGTTGTTTGCCTTATTTCCTTTTATGGGGTTTGGCAGGGCAGCAGAGGGAAAAAATGGGATCTTTGATGGAACACATATCTGCGAAATAGGGGTTGGATGTGGTAGATATTGGTTGCATTGGAGGGTGTTGGGCTTGGCTGGCTGGATAGTTATAGTAATGGGGGGGGGATGTTGGAGGTGGGAGGTGGCCATTCAGTTGTAGTTTTGTGAATGAGAGTTCTTGAGCTTTTTTTTTTCTTTGAGGGCCTTTAGTAGGTGATGGTGACGTGCTTTGCTTGTTGAAAGTTGTGGAAATGTAATCAGCGGTTGGTATTCTTGCCCAGACTCATGGTATGAGTTGTAAATGCTACGGAATCCTAGCAGGCGTGCCACGGTATAGTATTAAGCTACCCTTCAAGCAATTGTACTCGCGCTTCCAGAACGTAGCATTACCATTACCGCACTATGCTACGTCGCTACGATTAGTAGGAGAGAGTTTCAACAATACTCCTTATAAAAGCTTTACTTCACCACATACAGTATATACTGTTCTTTATGGGATTGAAACCCATACTCGTACATCGGTACGAAAAGATTGAATTCGCAATACAGTACGAGTAGATAGATTAGAAAACAGGGCGTCGAGACGTAATAGAAGTACTGTAGGTCCCCTCCCGGATTTCCTTGATTGGCTGCTATATAGGAATTAAATGAACCTTCAATTTTGTTCTGTGGATTAGCAATTTAGCTAGCTAGCTATATATATGGAAATAATTTGTCGTTTATGAAACGGGTGGGGTATAGGCTTTTGATAGTTGGAATGTAATGACTAGGATTTATGTAGATAGAATTTGTCTTGTTAATGTCTGTAGGAGGAGAGGTGGATAGTGAGAGATCTTTCCCAACGGGTTCTAATCTTTGGGTTCTTTGGGTTCTTTGGTTTCCCATTGATTGTTTTGAGCGGGAGGGGGGAATGCCTTCGTACTATAAGATGAAGAATCTTTGGTGGGATGTCGTATGGGGGTGTAATGGAGTATGTGTTCAGGCCTTTTGGGGGGGAAGG